GTTGTTACGGACATCAATGCCACCTCACAAAAGACCTGCTTGAACAGTGATATGCCAAAGAACATCCATGGCGTGGTGAGTTGACAAATGTATACCTGATGCTCAAGGACAGTCGACGTAGAGGAAGCAGAGAATCTGGCCATTTCCTGGCAAGAGATGCTTTCGCGTGATATAGTAGAGCACGATACCAGTGAAATATGACGCACGCGCTCAGCTTGACTATGCTGCAGCTGCAGTGATACCCAGGTAAATGGCCTTTGCACACCCATCAATTCCACGAAGCATCTGTCCAAAGGCACCACAGCATTCCTGACAGTTCCCTTGATGCAGCGTCATGTATGTCCAGTTTGTTCCTTTTCGCTCGTTCGTTCCCGTTTGGTAGATTCCATCCGCTTGAATACGTCTTACGGCTCAGCAAGGCAGAGTACGATCAGGTAAAACGGTGTCGGTCGGTGATTCTTAGCTCGAGGCTCTTTGGTTGGTCGGCTGTGGCTCGTGACCAGACATTTCCTTTCTCGGGTTGTAGCTGGTATGGCAATATTAATCTGTGGGCCCGATATGACGGGGCCTTTGCCTCACGTTCTCCTTGCACACAGGCTTGAACTAACAATCTAGCCGTCTGCAAAGGTATGTCTCACCTGCCGTCAAGCCAGACGAAACCTCCAGCATCCTCGGTCTTTTGGAGTTCCAGGACGGAAAAGACGCGAGATACTAACAAAGGACAATGATTGCCACCCATTACACGCCAGGAATCAATCCACGAGGAGGCCTTTGTTTCAGAATGTTCGAATGCCGACACGCATCAGCACACTGCTGCACAGAATCCACTAAGAGAAGGGCCGTGGTAGACGATATGCAGCCTATACTGACTCATTGTCAATGCGAGTAGTCATATGGAACGGATAGACAGCATACAATCGCATCGGTATAGGGAAGTCTAAGCAGACAAGACATTCGCTCGCTTCGCATTTGACTCGAATGACGGCAACACGAGGGCGTCCTGTTGTACGGTAAGGGTCAGCAAGGCTTACCACTTGGACGAGTTGTTATGACTTACCAGTTCATAGTGTTTGCAGAGGGCACGCTGTGTACGCTTGAGACGAGAGGATCAGTAAGCTTCGTGGTCATATGAACTTGCCAACTAGACCACTTACAATCCTCTTCGGCAAGGCAATGCAGCACCATTCATGCCATGTTCACCATTCATGCCATGTTGTGTTCTGGTTCATCACACCCTCCCGCCGTTGCTTCAAAAAGGCCGGGCTGTGAAAAAAAACCACCATCATTCTTCGGTATTTTGGAGTTCCAGGACTGAAAAGACGCGAGATGCCAACCGAGGACAATGCCATTGGACGTCAGGAATTTGATCCACAAGAAGCCTATTCTTTCGCGGTGTCCGAATATCGAGACAGACGGTGGTTTAGCCCATTATGCTCTGGAATTTGTATCGGTAAACACATCAGCACACTACTGATGCATAGTGTCGACTGAGAGAAGGACCGAGACGATGTGAACTTTCCAGTCATTCCTCGTCCATGCCACCAGTGGTCATGAGGAAGGGACATATAGCTTGCGATCGCATCGGTATAGAGGAGCTCGAGCAGACAACATTGCTAGCTTCGCATTCGACTCGAGTGAAGGGAATATAAGGGGCGCTGTTGTGCGGTCCGGGTCAGCAAGGCTTACTACTTGGGCGAGATTTTGTAACTTACCTGTTCATAAAGTTCGCAGAACGTTCGCTTGAGACGAAACGATCAGTTAGCTTCGTGGTCATATCTTACCGACGAGATCACTTACAATTGTCTTCATCAACGCAATCACCATTCATGCCGTGTTGACACGATATTGTATCCAGTTCCTCGCACTCTTCGGCTGTCGCTTCGAATAAGCCGCGCTGGGTGCACCGGGCAACTTCTGAAGGCGCGTGACGAGCTACCTGTGACAGGAAAATTCACAGTCATAATGGGATAAGACCTAGCGAGGGGGACGGCGAGAGGTTCATACACTCCGTCGTTCGTGGTGCGAAGGCGGTGAGATCGAGGCGCAAGACGCGATGGAGCACGCGTCGTATTGCCACCTTGCTCGTATCTCCGATCCGGCGATGAGACCTTCCAACGGGGACGTTTCACATTGGCGATGGGCTGCTCCTATGTACAATGGCATGAAAATCAGTAATGGTGTTCGTGATTTGCAGCACAAAACATCGCAAACAACTGATATAGCGCAGCAAAGGGCGCGATAAATCACTCACATTATCTGGAAGAATGGACGTCTCAAGCTTCTACGCAGCGAAGCTCGCAATCGGATATCCACATCTGTTACTAGACCGTTCCTTCTTCACCTAGTGTATGCTGCGTGGTTTGAAGCGACGGGGCCGGGGTCAGTGTGTAGGTTATGGCTTTGTGCAGATCACTAATGGGGATGCTGTATCCTCGGCGCCCTTTGGTGCGATGTCAATGGTTCACTGTCATTCATTAGCTTGCGGATTCGCGACATAATCGATGACTCACACGCTCAGGTGGCCAAGACTAGGGACAAAGAGACGGCAAAGAGCTGGTTCTTGCCCTCGTGGTCGAATGTCCTCGGTTCTATTGAAATTGCATCGTCTTCAGGATCAGTAAAATTCAGACAGGTCAAGCTAAAATTCACATACCTGCGACGTGGATATTCGAGCTTTCTCTTGGGAATGCACACACGGGCTGTACAGTAGATGAGCTCAGTCGGCTGCTGTGGCGGAGACCTCGTCGCACGGACAATTGGACCAACTAACTTAAAACTCGTATCTTTAATCGGCTGGTGTGAATGGCAGTGCATCTGATGGGAATCATATCTCTCACGGGCACTGTCTGACTACTAGCTGGCCCACGACGTATTCTATAAATGTCAATACAGTGGAAATTTTAGTATTGGGTCAAGGGGGAGAAATTATTAAGTGACTCAGACACAAGCCTGCTCGATTTTGCAGAGTCAGGTGAATGAATTGTAAAGCAAATGCTGGGGGTAGAGGACGTATTTATAGGCTTCCCGGCTCAACCTGTCGCCGAAGTGCGCTGCTTGGTAGAAAGCGCTAGGTACATCTCGTAATTGAGGCCTGTTAAAAACCCATGTCTTCCGGTACCGCAACTATTTGCAGCGACGTTTTTAATGCATTTAGATGCTCAGCGAGAGACAACAATAGTCGTGTTGAGCAACAGCATGCTGAGTTGGTCAAAAAGCGGTGGCTGACTGTTGAATCCTTCACGTCCCTCCGAAAGTGAGGCACCGAGTATATTCAATCCGCAATGACACGCTCATATTTCTTGTCCTGATACCTTACCTGTGAGTGACTCAACGTTGAATCACCGAAAACCGCCTACAATTTCATCCCGAGAAATATGGATATTTTTTTTTACCTCGCTTTAGTGTGGTGTTGGTTGTGTAGAGCTATGGGTCTAACCGTCTAGACTGCAGAAAGCGAGGTCGTGCTCGACCCGTCAGCCCGTTGAAGCTTGGCCACACGTTGTCAACACTCAACTCATGTATGAGGACACGCCATTTTTTATTTTTTTTTTTTTGGTTTGTTTTCTTTTTCAACTTTTTTTTTTTTTGGTGACTATGAGTTCTACAATATTCCATTTGTCGGATTTCTGAGATGTTCAACGAAACGGAAATAGGTGTCTGGGTGAAATATATATCATCAACAAGCGTTGATCTCTGGCCCTCAACATCGTGAGACTTGATAAGTTTCCCCGACCGACTATCCCTCATGTTGAATACACTATCAACAGCCCACCGAAAACTAACAAAACGTTTGTCAAAATCTGACTGCATCAATTAACAGTTGTGGTAATCGTAAAATCCACTAAATAGTCGCCTGCGTCTGTGCAGTCTATAAGAGACACTAAGGATCGATGGAAATTGTATTAACCAGACCCGTGACTTTCTCTTGCGCACAAAATGGAGTCCCAAAAAACAGCTCGACAGGCCAGGAGAATGAAGCAGATCAACCGTCCAGTGAATTGCCCATCCTTGGCGAGGAAGACAAATCACAGGAAAGTTCTGACCAAGTCACATTTGTAAGTGAAATGATTCGGCTTCAAAGGCTTTTGCTGACCAATGCAGCCCTCCCCTTCGCAGCAGGAAGCAGGAACAAGACACACCCTGGCGACCGAGCCGTTTCAACCCATCTTGAAGGTTCTAGCAGACCTCGAGAGCGACGATCCCAAGTTCGGCTTTCCAGCAGCTCGACTTGTCGGACTCTATCGTCGCCTATGGGAGTCGTGCGTGTCCAAACATCGATGGCCAGAAACTAGAGCAGGACAGCTTTGTTTTGAAGGAAGCTGGTGCACACCTGAGAAAAAAGAGAGATGGGTTTCAGGCTCGCCACGACAAGCAGCTATCCCGGCTGCGCTTTTTTGAGCAGGCTCTGGAATTATCTCGGGAACGACTGGCTAGTGTACTTGATGACTGGAATTACCCTTCCAGACTTAGTCTCGCAGAGTTCTTGGATAACGCAAGAGGAGATTGAGTGATCGGCTACATGTATTTGGAATCATCTTTCCTATTGCTTAAAAGCAGAAATACTACAATGACTTTGAATTGAAGGAAAATCACACCCTGAAAAGAAGTTTTTATTCCTTGTGTCTGCGAAAAATCGCCCATCTTATGGACCAGTTTCAATTGCAATCACCCAATAAATTATGCACAAAGAAACGCCGAATTCAGGGACAGTGTCTGTAGCGTACCTAGCGGGGAAAGTGTCGATTGACTCGAGTATTATAAAGGTTCCATACGAGGCCATAGGGACAGTCGGAAACTAGTGCCTATCGCACCAAAATCCGGCCGGGCGATCGTGTCTAGCAACTGTCCGCGTACCCGACAGAGATTACCAGGGCCGTTGAGGAAAATGCCGCTAGCCTGAATAGACATGGACGAAGGACTTGGACCCGCCCACTTGAAGCCGGGGAGACTGTGTTATTGAGAGGTCTGCATATCTACATGGAAGTCCATAGACAGGCGCTTTACTCTGTTTCATCTCGCGTCGACCGTTTTCTCACTTCGTTGGAAGACGGCCTGCTGTGTCTTTTCGTCAGTCTAGACAGCTGCTCCTCATGAGGCGTTAGAGAGGGAAAAGCATGACTACCCTTGGTAGTTTCGATGACTGGCGGTGATCTAGTGCTGGCGGCTTCAACTGGGTTGAATGCTCCGAACCGACTGCTATACCGCTTTTCGGTCAAATGTCGAAGTGCATCTTCAGTCATCGAGCCAACCAATTGTGCCGAGTTATCCTTGAAGAGCGCTTTCTTGATATCGAATAAATCAGCCAAAGTAGTCACCACTACTTGATCACTGTCGCCGTCGGCAATCACCTCCCCAATTCGATATACTTTTCGAGAGGAAACTTCGTCTGCCATCTTACATATCTCCAAACACTGCCTAGAAGCGTTGATATCGCCCAGTAAACGTGATCTTTCGGTCTCGTCATTAGGGTCATTTCTCAGAAGAAGAGACTCTAAGCGATCCCGAAGTTTCCCGATAATCACCTCAAAATTATCTCGGTTCTCATCCAGGGCTTGGCGTGTGAGCAGCTGCGCCTCGGAGCAACCTTGCCCATCAACTTTAGCGTCGCTGTCTGGCCCTTCTTGCAGAAGAGATGATTCTCGGTTTGACAAAGAAGCAATGTAACTTTTCGCATCCTCGCAAATTCGGATGCATTGTTGTGTCACTTCTCTTTCGTCTTTGAGATCAACGCTTGAGCCGGAGGCACTTGTGTTGTCCATGGTAAGATGTCCCATTTTCCCATCAATTCGTTGCAGATAAACTTCAAGGTTATAGACTGTATCTTGTATCATCTCATTGTAATCTTGGAGAACTTGCTGAGAGACTTTGGCGGTGTGTCTCATAGAAAAGTTAGCAAAAATAAAATGACAAGGTGAGGTTGGCAAAACAAACATGGTGATGGTGCCTAAACCGATTGAGATCGTGGATTTATACCCCGATAGTATGTCTATGAATTCATTGATATTCCCTCTCATAAACTCCATCTTTGCCCAATCTCTAAATCCTGTCTTCGACTTTCGCCAGAAAGACTCCATCGCTTCTTCAAACTCGTGGCAGACTTGGCTGCATCGGTCAACTGGACCCTGCAAGAGATCCAACATTGACGCCTCCACGTCGGCGACTTGCTTTAACGAGTTCAAGATTTTCGTGAGGTCGTAGAGTTCATCTTGAAGTCTCCCTAAAGTTTTGTCTCGGCCTTTGAAGCGTGAAACGGCTTCGTGGAGGGACTTGGTCGATTGGACGGCAGCATTAATGACGGCCAATACCGAAGCAGTGATACTCAAAGGATCTGCCATCGAGGACGCACGTTTTTAGGTCGCTACCAAGGTCGTAGTAGGAGTTAAGTGCAAGAAGGGACACTTCCGCTGAAGCCGGGGAGGTGGAAGGCGGGGAATATGAATTTCACGTGTTTAAATGGGAGCCTCGTACCGAGTCGTACGTAAATAATGGCCCACATGTCACATTTAGCGCCGTGGCTGTATCAAGTTTGTGATGGGCTCTAGCAGCCCTGATAGCGCCTACTGTTCTGGACTAATTAAATCAAAACTAGGGTGTCAAGGATGAACGACAAATGTTACATTAGCATTGGTCTCTTTCTATGCGGGTATATCTGAGAACGTTGGGGCCAAAATGACAAAAATGTGTGACTTATATTTCAGCGTCCCGTGTCAAAGATTCTTGTTATCTCTTTGGACTATTGATGTAGGACCTCGCAATAAATAAGGCAATAATACAATATGTCAATTTAATTGGAATTCCGTTTGGATATTGACAGATATTGTTAATCAAATCCCTTTTTTCTCCATAACAGACTGCTTTCAGTGAATGCTTTGGTTAGACTGTTCACCCGATCGATTATTGAGGTGGCATACCTACGAGTCAGCGTAACTTGTAACCCGGCCCATCGAAACATCCCGTCTTATGATCGTGGTTGGTTTGCTTCTTTGCTGCAATAGCACTGCGGTTCATTGAAATTTGTCGAAGTGAACTGTCGGATAAATCTCCCATACACTGAGTAGCGTATTGCTGGGCGGTGATGTGTCGAGCTGTCGTTGTATGCCCGTTCGTGGAGCCGATAAATTGGAACACATTCGCGTCTGCGCTGATATTTTGAAAGATGTTTCGGCGTTCAATGTCTGACTGCATTGTGGAGTCAGGAACGCCCTCTCGGCTCGTTTCAGATGGTTCGGTAGGGTTGCTCATCGCTGTCGTGCTAATATAACGATTCAGCTCTGAAAGCGGGGGAGTGAGTGACTCCTTGATGACATCCCAATGACTAACATACCATAGAATCACGTGATGCTTTCTTTTTTGCCATGGCAAGCGCCATCCCTTGCTTACTCCTGCTCATAAAACAAGATACGCTCAAGATGGCCGTCTTGTAAAGGAATGGCCCTGTTCCAAGAAATATTTCAGATGAAAATACGGGCAAATGCCGACAGTGTGTTCAGCTGAATGGGGAACCCCGTGAGGCGCGGAGACGGAATTTGTCGGCAGAAAACAAAGCTCGCAAGCCGGCAGTAAAGTCTCGACAATTCTATCCTTACTGCCTCACGACGTATTAAAACCAGCTTGTGTATAAATTTAATAGACAAATATTGTCAACAGGAACATAGCTTTGGTTTCTCAAGGTGGAGGCACAAGACCCTACAAGATACATTTGGATTCCTGGGGGCTACATGGCTCCCGGAAGCTGCTTCTTTGCTCCCAGCAACAGCACTGAAGTCTCCGGGAGCAAGATCACCCGCAGGGCGAAGCCATGCATTACCAGGGCTGTTAGAGTTGTAAAGAGGAACTTAACTGGGTTTCTGATAGTGGGATAATCTTACAAGCTAAGTACGATGTCCTGGGGCTATACTCTGTCTGGGGTCACTATTTTGAATTCTTTAACAAATCAAGATTGATGGATGTTTATACAGTAGATCATTGGTCCACGGCCCCGGATAATGAGCCCGATCTCTTAGGACAGAGTAAGTAGACCAGCTCCTGGAGTCTCCTTGAGCACCTAGGGTCTGCTGCCTTTTGAGATCTCGCATCAGATACTGTAGGATTGGATTGGTTGCTACCTATACCATATTAGTGTATCTCATGGAGTAAAATTGGACCCGCAGAGATAAATTAAAGTCTCCTATAGTGGCGTGATAGACAAGAGACTCTGGAATGGACACTTTTTGCTGCATATACCTCGAAGTGGACCGTAGGGTTCCGAAAGGAATAAAGGAATGCGAATATACAACATAATCATATTCGCAGTCCGCGAATATGAATATATGAATTTTTTATTCGCGCGAATAAACGCATTATTCATATTCGCATTCATATTTGTTGAGATAGGTAGTTGTAATTGTTCTTATTAGGGTTGCTATCAAAAGTGGGAAACCCGTCTATTTAAATGTGCATCGCTAGTCTCGCCACACAAGCTTTGACCACCGTGATACTCAACACTCCCACTCGATGGCAACCATCTCCGATGGTGCCGGTGACACTTCAATCGCGGTTGAGACAGGTCCCATTAAAACCTTCCAAAAACTTCCTTTGAGAAGAAAAGAAGGAAAGGGTATCCTGCGCCTTGGACTGGTTCGAGTGAAATGGAGACGTGATTACTCGATGCCGAGTTCTCTTCGAAACCACTCAAATCTTTGCCGAGTCAAAGGTTTGGTAAAACCATCAGCAATCTGTTCTGTGGTTGGGACATAGCCAAGCTGCACTCCTCCGCTATCTTGGATCTCTCCCTGCCATTTGCGTTGGATTTCCATATGTTTTGTGCGGGAGTGGTATTGTGGATTTGAAGCAAGAGCGATGGCACCCTGGTTATCACCGCAGATGATCGTGGCGGTTGTTCCTTGATCCAAATTCAATTCATTGAGAAGTCTTCTCAGCCAGACGGCTTCTTTGGTGGCTTGCGTTTGTCCTAGAAACTCGGCTTCGCAGGTTGAAAGGGCAACAACGCCCTGGTGTTTCGATTGCCAACTGATTGCCCCGCTTCCAATGTTGAAGAGATAGCCAGCTGTGGATCGTTTCGTGGCGCGACATCCTCCCCAATCCGCATCTGTGAAGCCTCTCAGGGTCTGAAGCTGACCTTGGTAGGTGAGTCTGAGGTTCTTTGTTCCTTTGAGGTACCGCAGGATGCGACGGGCCAGTTTCATGTGCTGGGGCCCAGGGTTTGAGAGAGATCTGCTAGCGACAGAGACCGCATACGCGATGTCCCCCCTGGTTCCAAGCATGATGTACATTAGTGATCCGACAATGCGTTGGTAAGAGGTCCTTTGATCTGGAGTGCAGGTGTGGTCTGGACTATTTTCCGGAAGTGGTGAGGTTTCGATCGGCGTACTGACGGGGGCGCAGTTGTCAATTCCATGTTGATGAGCGATATTGTCAATGTATGCCTCTTGGCTTAGGAGCAGTCTCCTGTTTTGACGGTCTCGCTGGATGGACACCCCGAGATAGTAGCTGCATGGCCCCAGGTCCGTCATCTGAAACCGGTTTCTCAGGCTCCGCTTGATCCTCTTGATCTCAGCGATACTCGGACCCACGATCAGGATATCATCAACGTATACTGCGATGTACACACTGCTCCGGACGAAGATACCGAGATCGGCGGTGATTGGCTCGAAGCCAAGGCTGCGAAGGAAGTTTGTCAGGGTCTGGTACCAGATCCGAGGGGCCTGCTTCAAGCCATAGAGGGCCCTTCGAAGCTTGCAGACCCTTGGCGTGCCGTCCGTCATGTGGTGGGGCTGTTCGACGTAGATCTCGTGGTCGATATCTCCGTACAAGAATGCGGTTTTGACATCCATTTGTTCAATCTCCAAGTCCAGGGCCGCTCCGATGGCGAAGAGAGCCTTGTAGCTCATTGGCTTGACAACCGATGCGAAAGTTTCATCATAGTCAATTCCTTCTTCTTGTGTGAATCCTCTCACTACCCATCGGCTTTTGTGGCGGATGATTTCGCCATGCGGCCCGCGCTTGAGTTTGAAGACCCATTTACCGCTGAGCACCCGCCGATCTTTGGGAGGATCCACAAGCTCCCACGTGTGATTTTGGTGGAGTGAATTCACTTCCTCAAGCATGGCTCTTTCCCAGTCCACCCAGCTTGCGTCGTTTTTTGCTTGGCTCAGAGTTTTGGGTTCAAATGGTTCCGTCTCCTTTGCAGCCATGGCCAAGAAGGTTGGAATGACGTTTTCTTCAGGTACGTTCAAGAGCGCAAGCTCTTCGTCCCCATCAGGATTGTCCAATGTGGCTTCCGAAGCCCGAAGTTCTAGTTCAGGGTGGTGATCTAATGTTTCTTGTTGAACTTCATGGACCGGCCGATGGAGTTCTGAATATCCTTGCCGTTCTAAAATTGGCCCTCGTTGGTGTTGCTGGTCGCCACCGGATGGTGAATCAATCCCAAAGACAGAATCCTGATAATCAGGTGATAGTGGCCCGAGGGTGTTCCCTCTCCGTATGGAAGATAAGGTTATGTCTCCTTGAGCAGCAACCGCGTCGCCCTGTTGCTGGTCGCCACCGGGTGGCGATTCAATCCCAAGGACAGAATCCTGATAAGCAGGCGATAGAGGTCCGAAGGTGTTCGCACTCCGTGTGCGCGACAAGGTCCTGTCTCCCTGTACAGCAACAGCTGGCTGCGAGTCATCGTCACTCGATTGGGACGACGCTTGGCTTTGCGAGTTATCGTCACTCGGCTGGGTAAGCACTCGGGAGTCATCGTCACTCCGAGGCAGTGTGTGCGAGATATCGTTTCTCGACTTAGGTAGGGCCCGCTCTGGGGGATCCATCGACAATTGGCGCCCCGAGGCAGGCACGGATGTTTGCCGTATTTCTACCGACGGTTGGTTTATTAGTCCCACCGTCCCACTCCCCCCTGCGACAGCAGCCGTTGCCTCAGGTGAGCCGTCTTGTCTGGCTCCCACATCTTGTAAAGTCTGTGTGGAGGGAGTTGTAAGGACTTCTTGAAATTCAGCGTTTGGTGTTCCAACGATTCTCCCGTCTCCCAGGAGGATACGGTAGTTGGTATTTCCCTCGTAGCCCAGCAAAATACATGGCCTTGTTCGTGGATCCGTGAGCTTCTTTCTTTGCTTTGGCGGGATCAAGTATTCTCCTTTTGATCCGATGACTCTTAGTCTTGAGAGGTCAGGTCTGTCGCCGTACCACGCTTGGTACGGAGTCATGTTGAGCTTCGATGACGGCGACCGATTCGAGAGGAAAGCTGCAGTTCGAGCAATTTCCGGCCAGAACTTAGACGGCAGCCTTGCATGTGCCAGCGTAGGCCCAAGACGGTCATAGATTGTCTTATGAGCTCTTTCGGCAACCCCATTTTGCTGATGTTGATCCACTCCTGTCACCTCCGCTTGGATTGCGCGCGAGAACAACATGAATTTCATCTCGTCTCCCATATGTTCAGATATCCGGTCCAGACGTATTCGTTTGCATTTTCGCTCGGGGCGCTCGTTGTGGTCGAGGAAGAACCGCAGTGATTCTATGACGAAGTGTTGTCTTCGCGGTATCGGGAAAATCTCGATCCAGCCCGTGAAGTCGTCAACGATGGTTAGCCAGTAACGGCTGCCATCTAGGCCGTCATCAAATGGCCCTGCGACGTCAATATGGAGGAGGTCCATTGCGTGTTCTCCTCTCCTGCTGACTCTTGATCTTCTGTGAGACCTTTCGATCATTCGCCCCTGCAGACAGGGATTGCATGGATGACGTGCCTCCATGTCCCGCACGCCATGAGCTTGCTGCTTGAGTCGCCGAAGGTTTGCGTCACTCATATGAGCAAGCCGGCTGTGCCACAGAGACATATGTGGGCTAACATGGTAAGAGGGGAAAGTCAGACTTGCCCACAGATCGAGTGCGTAGACTCCATGATATTCACTGGCAGTAAACAGATTCTTTCCGTTTGACTTGTTGCGAAGGATAGCATCCCGGCTTGAGAACTCGACTTTTGCCCCTCGTTGGAGCAACTGGAGCACCGATATGAGATTGGCATGTGCAGATGGAACATACAGGACGTTATCAAGCACTAGCCATTTCTTTCTGCCGCGTACATTGCACAGGATATTTACTGTTCCCACGCCCGAGGGAGCTGTTGAGGTATCAATGCCTCTCAGTGAAGGCCCATGATATTTAGCCATTTGGACAAACCTGGAGGCGCTATTGCAAACATGTTGAGCGCATCCACTATCCACGATCCACGCGTCACGGATAGAGGGGGTCTTTATCGCCATCATAATGGGAACATGGTCAAACAGGGTGAGATTGCCCTCGATATCGTTTCCAAATGCTTCGTTGACATCTTTTCCGGAGACTTTCGTCGCCATGAAGGTTGGTTTCTTCGGGTCTTTTGGGCCACTCCCATCGTCGTCCTCGTCGTCCGTCAAGGTCCGCCTCTTCGACTGTCTGCGTGCGCCTATGTGCATTCTGCCTGGTCTTGGCTTCGGTCCGTCTCCGTCCTTCTTTTGGACCTTCAGTCTCGGGTTCTTGGTGAAACATTCGGCGTCGATGTGATAAGGTTTTCGGCAGAAGGAGCAATATGGGACGTTATCAATCTCTATCCGACAAGTAGTTCCGTCCGACGACGGTATGAGCTTCTTGTCACCTGGCCCACGGACTAGGGCAAGAGCAGGAAGAGCTTGCGACTCCATTGCTTGTTTGCCCAATTGCCCTTTTCTATGCTCTTCCTCAATGGCCTTATTCTCGATATAGTCAAATGTAGGTGCTGCTTTGATAATACTCCCATTTGCATCTCTTTCGTTGACAAGGTCCATTTGTCGGAAGATATGATCGCGGAAGCTCTCGTACTCGGGGCCGAGTGCATGAACAAAGAAAAATGTTCGCTCAATTTCGGAGGTCACGCAATCAGGGTCAAGAAGGAGTTTTTCAGCATGAATCTTCCTGATCTCTGCCCCCAGCGCTTGGGTGCTCCCACACTTGTCTCTTGTGAGGGCCATGTATCGTCGTTGGAGGCTAACATACGTGCCGGAGCCTTCCGGTTTGAAGTTGTCCTGGACTGCCTTAAGCAGTGCTTGAACTCGAGGTATCTCAAAGGCATTGATTCTTTGCGCCGCATTGTGTGTCAACTTTGCCGTAATCATCGCAGAATAGAACTTTTGACGGTGGATCCATTGCCGTGCTTCTTCTTCTTCTGTCGGTGGAGTCGCTCCATCGTCGGCAACCGCAGATATCCGAATGAACTCATTGACCTTCTGATTCCACCTAAACCAGTCGCTGGCATTATCCAGTATCGGGATTCCATTATAAAACGTATTGATTCCAAATTGCTCGAATTTTGTGATTTCAGTCATGTTGGTAATGGATGCTCCTCAGAGCTGAAGAAATCAGGGCTAGATACGTCGTTGGGCCGATCAGAGGTAGCCGATTCACGATCTGATGACTGAAGAGAGCGCACCTCCAAACCGAAGAGTTCAAGGCTTGACGCGGCACTGGGAAGACTTGAGGCGATGGTAACGCTTCGATCTGATGAACTTGGCGTAGGCATCCGAGATGGAGGAATATAGTCGCTGTCTGAGAGCCCTTGTAGATCGAGAGAGTACTTATACGATCTAAAGAAGTGTGGGAAACGGCGTCGGTCAACTAGATATTGCGAATTCCTTGGAGGGAAGGTTGAGGGTCTGTTTGGCCGAAGTTCGTAACGACTCGAGTCGCTGTTATTGGAAATAAATGGCTCACATCCACCCGCAAGACTTGGTGGGCTCAAGGCCAAAGTCCCAATATTGTTTTCTGACCGAGTGAGAGTGCCAGAGGCGGGGCAACTAGAGCGACTTGTCCCCTGCTCGATACTGGAACACCCAGGTTGAGCTTTGGGGGCACCTGGAAAATCCTTCACCGTGTTGCGAGGAGCGGTGATTGGGATGGTTGTCCTCGATGCTCGGCGTATGCGGTCTTCAGTGGACAGGCGCCAGTAGGCTCCCAAGAGTGCGCTCGGAGAGAGTGATGGGAAGTATGACGTTTGGATTTGTTTGAAGCGCCAGTGGCGAGTGTGTCGGAGGTACGAGAGAATGTTCAGCTCTTCGTCCGTCCACGAGTGTCTCTTTTGTAGTTTTCCTCGCATTTCTATTCCAAAACTGAGGTGGCCTTGTGGCTAGTGGCCCCAAGAAGATAGCTTCTGAGTTTGCTGGAATTGGTGACATGTCCCAGCTTTAGGTACAACTCGGAGGTACACCGTGCCAGTGCGATAGTGTAACCGTAGCAATAATAGTGTAATGCCTATGGCCATTTGGCAGGGAAACGTTTGAAGCTTGCTGCAAACGGTGACATGTCCCGGCTATGGGGGCAACTCTGCGATACTCCGTGCCAGTGGCAGTGTAACAGTAGCAGTGATGGCATGATGCCTGTGACTCTTTGGTGAAAGAAAGTCCATACGCGTTATTGCTCGAAGAGGGTTTGAGCAATAGGACTTAATACTGTTCATCAAGTTACTGAGAATATGTGATCAGTTTCTGAAGTTCATGGAGATAGTCTCCGGTGGAGAAGCTTAGCTGTAATGGCAGGTCAGGAATCTTCTATGTTTAGATCCCTGATTGCCCAAAGGTAAAGCCACTCGGGCTCATAACCAGTTGAGATAGGTAGTTGTAATTGTTCTTATTAGGGTTGCTATCAAAAGTGGGAAACCCGTCTATTTAAATGTGCATCGCTAGTCTCGCCACACAAGCTTTGACCACCGTGATACTCAACACATACTAGCTATTAAATTGAATTGAAGTTCCGCGGTTTCTGCCAAACAGTGTTAAAAAGTGGGTCCTAGGCCGAAGTACCCAAGGTCAAACACTCATGCAACACCACTGTATATCCAGGCACGTGAGGTGCTTTGGAATTCAACCAGAAGCCCAATTATTGCCCAGCACACGGGCGAAGAGAGGGTGGTCTCAGCCGCACGGCCCTTGGGTCATGGTCCCGGCGTCGAACCGTGCCTACGTCTATGAACTAGTAGTAGAACTATGTGTCAGTGGTAGTTTACCACTAAGCCCGTTTGGGACAGGATCCACAAGAGAAGCTTACTAAGAAACAAGCTCTGAGTCTGGTATGTATATAACAGGCGGACGGATGTATTTAGAGGAACAGCTGTTTAGTGATAATCCATTGCTACGTACGAGACCTTACCGATCCATCAATCGTCGACAGTTATGAGCCCGATTCGCCAATAGAATTGCCAGAAGAATTCAACTTGAGCAAACGGAACGAAACGATCCCGATCGGCCACTGAAAGATCTCGCAATGGACTTTGAGAGCAGCTTCCAGAGCAGCACGTCGCTGTACGGCGGCGGTGCAGTGAGCAGCACTCCGAAACTGAAAACATCAGCTCAGTGGAGAGTGTGGATAGCGCATATTCGGTCATACGCTCAGGGGTATGCAGTATGGGAATATTTGGACCCAGCTGTCGAGGCACCACCTGAATTGGAGAAACCCGAATATCCACATCCGAGTGAGGCACGAGAAGGTGCTGAATCGATTCGCGACCTTAGACAGACGGATATGGCAGTCTGGGAATATGTGAGAGATCAGTACAAGGAACGGAAGGGCGAATATGAGCGAGTTCAGCGATACTTGCCGCAAATGACCCGCATCATTCACGATACGTTAGCTCCTGAGCATTTTCACTACCTTGCGGATGAAGATACCCCACTCAAGCAGCTAGTGAAGCTGAAAGAGATCTTTGCGCCGAGTGATATAAGAAGGTTGCTCGACGTTCGAGACGAGTGGCTTCGACTTCGCATTGCATCTCCAAAAGGGACGAATTTAGACACCTGGTTAACGAAGTGGATAGCTCTGTACGAGGAGTGCAAGAGTTCAGGGGTGAAACAGATGGAATCAGACTACGAGTGTGTGTATGACTTCCTCCTGGCTGTTAAACCCCATTCACCAGCATTCTTTGCCATCTGGTATGAGAAGACGATTGGAGAAAGAAAGGCTGTCAAGTTTCATGAACTTGTCACCAACTTCCGATCGTACGCAGCGGCAGAGAAGCAAGGAAGAGACACAAACCCAAAGATAAGCTTTGCAACCCTACATGGCCAGCAGGAGCAGAAGCAGCATCAGGCAGCTCAACCGGCAAAGAGCTCGCCGACCCGAGACAGTTTTGAATGTCCCTGTGAGAGGAAGCCAAGATTTCACAACATCAGGACATGCTGGTATATGAGGGAGGATATCCGACCAGATGGATGGATTCCAAACCCTGAGATTGAAGAACGAGTCAAAACCAAGATGAAGGACTCGAAGGTTCGGGTTGAAATAGAGAGAAGGCTTCAACAAGCGAGAGAACAGGAAGAAAAGAAGTCATTCCTGAGCGTTCAGATGGAAGCGCCAGAGTATAGCTTCTTTACCTCTCAACTTGGCGGTCCCGTGAGCGCATGGCCTACAAAAGAGGATTCGATGGCCAACACGAAGAATAACATTGCCACAACGACGCAAGACAAAGCCACGTATGCTCTACAGAAGAGCTGGGTCCTTGATTCAGGCGCGTCGTGCCATGTTTGTAACGACAGAAGTCGGTTCACGAGCTTCAAACCAATCACTGATAGCATTCGGACCGGAGACTCGCAAACAGACGTGAGCGGCATCGGGGAAGTACGAATTCGAGGCAAAAGACCCTGTACAGGAGAGACCGTGGTGATCAAGCTGAGCAATGTGCTCTATTCGCCAAATTTCCTGACGAACCTAGTGTCCTTGAAGCTTCTGCGAGATCACAATGTCAAATGGGATGCAGACCAAGACATTTTAGTCCATCATAGCGAGGGGATAGCGAAGATCGAGTTTCACCATGGAATGTGGGTGATCGAACATAACGAGATGGAGACCGCGCTTGCAACCCACAGACGGCAAAGGGAAGCGCACCAGCCTCGCCAGTCCAAGAAGCCCAATCGAAGCTCAGAGAAACCGCTAGTCTCTAAAGCAACAGCAGACGTATGGCACCGAAGAATGGGCCATATGCACACAGAGAGACTTGAGATACTCGAGAAAATGGTGGAAGGAATGGAAATCGTCGGGCCTATCAGCAAGCAGTCGGCTGAGCACAATCCAGAGCTGTGCCAGGTCTGCCAGGTCACGAAAGCCCACCGTCAAATCTCAAGGAGAGCGACTGGACAGACGTATGGGCCGTACGGACGAGTTCATTTCGATCTGATTCACATCAACGAGGGTTACAATGGCGATCGATGGATAACTCACTTCTACATCGACGGAATGAGGTTCCATGCAGCGTATACCCACGAGAGCAAGAATGGCGTCCAGTTTGCAGTAAAGGACTTCCTACCATACGCACGGCATGTGTTAGGGATACCTTTAAAGGCTGTCAAATTTGACAATGAGCGGAGCGTTAGCCATGATGTGGAGCGAATCATCATGGAGAATGGTTTTGTTATCGAGCATTCAGTTCGAGCCGCACCAGAACAGAATGGACACGCGGAACGATCTGGGGGGTGGTCATACAGAGAGCAAGATCACTGCTCGAGGATGCAGGCTTACCAAAGAATCTGTGGCCTGAAGCTATCCGAGCAGCAGTCTATATCCTCAACAGATCGCCCACGCATGTGGCTGGACGATGGATCATCCCATGGCAAGAAGTGATGAAGAATGCTGGACATGAGCAAGCAGTCTCAGTCGCAAATCTGAAGGTGTACGGAAGCTTGGCGTACTGCAGGATCATCAAAATTCCTCAATCGGAGAAGATGCTCCCCAGAGCAGAGATTGGATATCTCGTCGGCTACGTTGCCTCGAACATCTGGAGGATCTGGTTCCCGCAGCGAAACAAGGTGGAAGTCGTACGAGACGCGAAGTTCGACGAAACACGAAGATATAAGCCTGATAGAGTGCCTGAACAGATAGTCAGCCAGATTCCTGTTCAGATTCCGGAGATCATTGGAGACGTGGAAGATGCAGAGCCCACGAGAGGTTCAATTCCACTAGTCATGCAGAGCCGAGCGCATCAGAATGCGGAGAAAGGACCAGAAGTATTGGCGCCGTCGACTCAGGAGAGACTGCCGACGCCAGCAGATTCGGCCAAGGAGACAAGAGGGACAGAAGAAGAAGAGGGAGATACTATCCTAGAAAGATTTCCAGCGGACCCGCCGATCCCTACCACTCCATCGCAGACTCCATCCGTTGTCGAACCAGACAATGTTTTCGAAGAACCCGACGACGTCCGACAGATAACAAGCGAGCTAGCTGCCGAACAAGAGAGAAACTCGGCGCCGAGAGACATCCACGGAGATGTAGACGAGACGAACATCGTCGTTGGTTCGAGGGAAAGGAAAGCACACGAAGACCCTGACTTCGTGAGTATGCTTGCAGCTCAGGACTCACCCGAATTACTGTCCGCATTTACGGCAGCGCATAGTACAAAACAACCAAGGGGTCAGATTCACCGGGACGACCTCCCGCCGGAGCCGGGAAATTGGAAAGAGATGACGAGGCACCAGTATTCGGAAGCATTTATGGCAGCAGCAGCTACCGAAGTGGCAGGCCTCGAAAAGAAGAACACATTTGAAGTTGTCAAAAGACCGATGGATCCGAATAAGCAGGTTCTCCCACTGACTTGGGTGTTTACCTACAAGTTCGACTCGGATGGTTACTTGGTGAAATTCAAGGCAAGGATTTGTGTCAGGGGAGACCTTCAGGTCATGACTAGCGACGAGAAACGAGCTGCCACGCTCGCAGCCAAGACCGCGAGAGCGATATTCGCGATGGTCGCTGCGTTCGGGCTCGATACGTATCAATCCGACGCGATTAGTGCATTCCTGAACAGTTCGCTAGACGACGAAGTCTACACACAGATGCCTGAAGGCTACAGAGCCTCTGGAAAGTGCTGGAGACTACTTCGAGCTCTTTACGGACTACGAAAATCACCCCGACTTTGGCAACAGGAAGCGACGCGAGTGTTCAAGAAGCTCGGTCTAACACAAGTTCCCGAGGATCCTTGTCTATTCACGGCGGACAGGATCATTGTCTTCTTTTACGTCGATGATATTATTATCGTGAATCATCCGACTGTACGGAAAGAAGCCCTAAAACTAAGGGAAGCTATCGGGCATGAATGGGAACTAAGAGGACTAGGTGAAGCGCAGTGGTTCCTTGGAATCCGAATCATACGGGATAGAAAGCAAGGGAAGTTATGGCTCTGCCAGGATTCGTGTTTACGATCTATGGGCATGAAATTTGGAGCGATCCATCGACGGCGATGCGATACGCCCCTTCCCGTGGAAGATCTGCGACCATACGATGGAAAGGCCTCTCCTTCAGAGATCCATCAGTATCAGCAGAAGATTGGAGCAGCTCTGTACGCAACCATCATCACCCGACCCGACGCAGCACGGGCGATTGGCAAGCTTGCAGAATATCAAACCAATCCAGGACCCCGGCACCTTGATGCCATCGATCGTGTCATCTCCTACCTCTACCAGACGAGGTTTTTCGCTATTGAATATGCAGCGGATAGGGGATCCGAAGCAGTCACGTTGGCAAGTGACGCATCATTTGGGGACAACGCAGACCGGAAAAGTTCAGAAGGGTATCTTTGCACCCTTTTCGGTGGCGCAGTGGATTGGAAGGCAGCAAAACAACGGACCGTGACAACGTCAACAACAGAGGCTGAGCTGTTGGCGCTCACGGAGGCAGGGAAGACAGTACAATGGTGGATGAGGTTATTCAAGGAGATCGGATTTGATCCTGAGCACCCGATCACTATCAGATGTGATAACCAGCAGACGGTTGACTTACTGCGAAAGGAAGATCCTCAGCTCCGGACGAAGCTTCGGCACGTAGATATTCACCGTCACTGGCTAAGACAGGAGGTCCAAGAAGGAAGAATCTCCGTTGAATGGGTTCCCACGGCCGAAATGGCCGCGGACGGTCTCACCAAGCTTCTTCCACGCCAGAAGCATCTGAAGTTTGTGGAGATGCTAGGCTTGGTGGACCTGAGAACACATTTATCTAACCATGAAGACTGATGAAGCAGAAGAGTGGCAGAAGAGTGGCAGGACAGGACTCAAGTGGAATCGGCCTGCCCTGGGGGGGTGTGTCAGTGGTAGTTTACCACTAAGCCCGTTTTGGACAGGACCCACAAGAGAAGCTTACTAAGAATCAAGCCCCTGAGTCTGAGTATGTATATAACAGGCGGACGGATGCATTTAGAGGAACAGCTGTTTAGTGATAATCCATTGCTACGTACGAGACCTTACCGATCCATCAATCGTCGACAGAATACTTCCATAAGATGGTGTATTTATTTCTCAGGTTTCTACGGTTGTGATTATAGATTTAAAAGACTTGTCATACTCAAAGTGACATGGACATCAGCCAAAAGCAAAAAATCACTTTAGTACCGATACAGCCAGGGCAGTCCCATATGCATTTGAGCTTCCTAGTCGTCATTTACTCTGGGAAGGTTGGCACGTGCGCTAAGAAACGTAGTGGGGCGCCAGCGCGAACCATGAAAACGCGGGTGATCTGTGCACAGCTGTTCCTGAATCTCGCAACAGTTTTATTAAATTGCTAGCGATCAAGCCTATCCACTTCTAGCGCTACGCCGTATTTTGGCATTGTAAATCCTTTGACAAGACCGGAATTACTACGTCTAGGAGTCTGATACTATATGCCTCCTCGATGCCAGAATTGCGCCTATCAGAATAGTCCAAAGTAGCAGAACTGAGTGGTATTGGTACAGTGCACTGGATATCGGTCTTCCTTCTGTGACTTAGTGGATAAAAATGTTGTTTTAGAGAATGGATGGAAGCTGAAAACCTATCGAATCGCGGCATTGCGTGACGCCTTCCTGGCAGCTGCCACACGATGTACAAATTTCCAGAGATAGGAAACGTAAAGTTTGCGGTCGGAACTTAGAGTGCGTGGCAATTCAATGGTATCTAGCAAATCGTCAGCCCTTCTGATCCCATCTACCGGTCTTCCGCTTTAAGTTACCGAGTAGTGTCTGGTCTGCACTCCCCGAGGCTCCTGCGAAGAGACGACCATTTGCAGTTGCCAAACTCTGCCTCACGTGGGATAAGTGACAGGTCTCTGTGTTGCGGGCCCTGGGCGTGAAGATTGGGGGTGGCGGCGGAAAGGCTCTCGGGGTATCTTTGCTTAGGACCCATGGCCGATGCCCCATGAAGGAGGCCTTAGACATACTCTTCTGCATAGCTCGAAGTTTTCGTAATAGGTAGTTCCGCTTGCTTCGCAACGCCTCCCCTGTCCGTTTCAACCCAAATTGCTTGAAGTATGCCTTGGCTTTTGCCTCCCATGTCATCCCTCGGTGCTGTAGCAGCCATGGAAGGAGGTTCTTTTTCTCCCATGAACACCAGGCAATGGTGTTGGGCTTCGGCATCTTGACAAGCAAGCCTCTGTAAAATAAGGGCAGAGGAAGGTCAGGCTGTGTAGTTACGGTGCAGAGTGGAAGTGTTTAAAGGAAACTGGTTGAACTTGAGGATGGTCATTGGTTTTTCAATGGCATTGCCCGGTGAGACGCTAGTCTGTAGTCCTTCGCTAAACACTTGTGTCTTAGACCAGTTATAGGGCATTAAAATAGATAGTAAGGAAACTATATCTATTACGGGACAAGAACGAGCTGTAGGGTGTCGGTTACCAGGGCAAGACCCGCACAAACCAATGGATACGCATGATTAACCAGGTTGACCAGGTTGACCGGACTGTTCATTTTGGTGGAAGAGACCAGCGGTTTTGTGAGGCTATTGTGTCATGATATCTCATCCGTTGAGAAAACGGTCAATCTACTAGGTTGTTTGTCATTTGAGTTTCAAACTAAGCCCCGTCCAAATTTCGGATGTAGTTCAGTCAAAAGTACGTATTCCGTCCAATCTTACCCCTTCCTTGCGTGTAGATCTGGGCTTTATTCATCGATAACGCTACTACACATCGGGCTCAATGGGGCTCTTAGTACATTTAGGGAAAGTGTAGGCCCTACTCGGCGAGCAATTCATTCCTTGATGTTACCGCAATCTTCCCTCTTCCACACTCTCTTTTCCATTATTATTGTTTTTTATTTCTTTCCATGCTCTCTACCTGACCAATCCCAAGCTCCATATTCATTCCGAGGTCGCTTGATGCCCACTCGGAGACTAGGGTACAACTCTCTCAGTGGCCAGGGATGTATCTACTCATTCTATACTTCTCTGAGAACAATGGCTGGCATCTATCAATATATTCATTTCGGAATGTTTGACTTGAACCTATAAATGGAGCAGGTTCCCTCACTGAGAAGACTCACCCTACATTCCTTGTCCTCAAACTTTCCCCCACCTTCTCCTTAGCCTACCACCAACACAATACCAATGGGCGTTCAAAGGGCTCTGCCTAATGGTATCTCGCAGAGATACTCAGACCGAATGTCTGAATTGTTTTCATCGGGCTCGCCTGAGGCGAGCAATATGTGCAGTCCACTCACAATCGCTGGCTCTGTCGACGAACAGTCCAACGACGAAGGCGGTACTAGTTCAATGGATGAATGCAGTGATGAAGATGATGCCCATGGACAACGCGCGGTTGAAACTAGTAGTGTGGTGGAGTATGGAAACCAATTTGTGAAGCCTCCAAACACTGGGTACCTTAGAGACCCAGAATCGACAATCATCGAGTGCATGGCAGAGTAAGTGTCTCAAACCATCTCAAAAGTCTTCTGGGTTCTGCTTACTAAAGGGTTTTTCGTCCAGATTAGAGAAGCGAGTGCAGTAAGTGTATACATTGGGAAAAGAAAACAATATTTACACACTAATACGCCTCAGGCATGTTGAAGAATCCCTCCTAAGCCAGAATCCGTGGAACAACGAAATGCACCGAAAGGTGGCACATATCATGGATGTTGTCGAAATGATGAGGAAAGACGTGGCTGCGCTGAAAGAAAAAGTTGGAATGATCTAGGAGGACAATGGCAGGGACAGTAATATTGAGGGTCGAAAGTCAAGACGCTTCAAGCGCCAAGCGCAGTGAGATGGTGTTGCCATCATTCAGTAGTAATCCCGAGCGCACGTTGGTACTATGAGGGCACCGAATATTACAATAATAGACACCAAATCCTCAGTGATCCGCCAATCGTCTATCCATTAGTACTACCTGACCTTAAATCATAGACGACGTGGTATAGTGTACTTCACTCGAACATTCTTTCTTGCCTTCGGGTAAGTCTGTCCCAGAACCCGTAAGTCGCTTGCAGTGCCGCAAATTGGTTCACAGATATTTAGTAAATCTCTAGTAAACCAAGGTTAACTTCGGTGATAGATTGGAGAACGGTCGCAATTTTTTGGACTAATCTCGAACCCACTGCAAAGCTTTTTTCGGCCTTCATGGACTGGTCTCGATGGTGGGAAAGCTATGCGATTTGTCCGGGGAAGTTCAGTAGCTTCCGGGCCGGGCCACGATCACCGTTGGCTTTCTCCCCGGCAGTGCTCTTGAATCCACACACGGTTGATCATTTCCGTAATTTTCAAGATTGTCATTGTTTTCTATCATATATCCGTGCTCCTTTAATTTCGCGTCTGTGGCCGAGTTATCCACTCGGGCAGAGCAAATTGACTCCACTCGCGTCCCCTTTTATCCCGCGTCGCTCCACGACATGCGTTAAACGCCTCATACCAATTGACTTGTGGATCCAATAAGCCAATCTCGCACGCATACACCAAAGTTCCGGCCATGAATGGATGCGAATCAGGCCAGGCTTTTTGACCAGAAATTCTCAGCCATGGATTCTCTCTAGCCTAATTTTGCCAGATTTGCCGGAGATGGCCGCTCTTGTCAAATCTGCGTGATATTTGAATTTCGTAACACTGAAATTTGGGATCTTCGATGTCGCATTTCTGACAGGGATTAAACCAGGCTTGCGGACCGCACAAGACTCCGGTTTATGCTGTGATTTGTAATATTTCCTTCCCGGCTATCAGGAGAAGCTTCGTTCGTATTTACATTCAACAAATTTGCGCGCTACTGCTTGAAAATCTGGAAGCTTTCTTTCAAAGGAAAAGAATACAGATGGATCGCTAGACTACGCGCCGTGCATGCATGCCACATGAGGAGCCTCCTGATCCGTGCTGACGGGGGGCGGCCCGGGTCGGATACTCTGGCGCGCGACCGAGACACTAGACCAAATGTGGTTCAAGTTACCCGCCACCGTATTTTTTTATTGGCATGAAATGCGCGACATATCGCCGTGCGTCAACCCACCTCAATCTCGCATTTGTCACTCGATCCTAGTGCCATCTCAGTCTCGCGTCTGTATCAACTGCAGCCATGGGTACTACCTCCAGAAAAAAAATTGGGATACATATTTCAAGGCCTAGGAATTAGCTGTGAAGACGACTTCCCCTATTATAGCATAATCCAGAAGGATTGGAGAAGGACTATGGAGTGTGAAAGGTACCAATATATCGGCCAATGGTAGAGGCGAGATTTTTAAAAAAAACGGCGAACGGGATCTACAAATCACCGCTAGCCCGCTTCGGGATCGATCATCCGAAATGCGATTGCGACATAGACAAATAAATAAGAGATTTACTCCTCACTCGGGTTGCTCTGGGGCTGCGTTGCGCTCATTGGATTATATGCGGTATACTTCTTCCCCTAAATTATCATGAACGCCCCCCATTGTCTTTATCCGGCAAAAGATCGGAGCGGGTCGGAATTACGGCACCAGTCAAGCCAGGACTAAGCCAAGACATCTACAGATGGTCATTCAAACGGTGATCATCCTACTCCATGTGAGTAGGGCCGAGGACTGGGCTAGTCAAAATCGTGACGTCGTATAGAATATGTTCAAATCAGTGCAATGTGGTAGCGCAATCCATGTACCCTTTGCCCTGAGGCCTTGCACTGATATCAGGATCCTTTGGGCAGTTATATGCCGGAACGTGGTGACACAATATATCCTCTTGCCAGTATTATAATTCCGATTAACTGCGCAATAGTGCATGCATAACACTCAATCAGACGATCCAATGCCAATATCGATCTTAAACCCAATTTGATAAGTCCTTGAGCCATGTACTCTCTGTCTATCCAGTCGCAATGAAGCTTTTATTTCTTTTCGATTCGTAGCACCACTATAGCAACGCGACTTTCTTAACTAAATGGTCCACCTTTGTCCCGGCACCGCGTGCCAATCCTCAAAAGGGCGATTAATATTGGTTGGGTTGTTGATTGACTTGTGCCAGCGCTTGTTGGTTGGTCAACGAAAAGGTACTCGGTAGTGGATAATTCGGAAGCGTATTGGCATCGAACATTCCCATCTGTCCATTGTGGACCGGCCAATTCACTTGTAGTACATCAGAATCAGGCATGCCAGCAGCTAATCGTTTGTTTCTTCGTGCTTCTACTTCTTTGTCGATGTCGGTTTTCAAAACATTGACATTGGTGCCGAGATGTATGAGCGTGATCAGTCCGTCATCTCCGGCTGCGCCAGCAGATTGTGCGGCCTCGAGCTGCTGTTCCAGAGTAGATATCTGCATCTCGAGTGTCTGCACCTTGACAACGGTCTGGTTCCTTTCGTCATTCAGCTGACGGATGCTTTCTGCGCCTTTGGCATTTTCGGCCTCCAGACGCTCTATCGAACGTTTAGCCTCCTCTCGCTGTCTATCAGCATCTTCGAAAAGGTGCAAGCATCTGCGGTGAACGACTGTCCAGTGTTTTTGTTTCTAAGTCTTGGCTATCGGCGAGGGAGACTGGTTTCCATATTTAGTTTGAGTATATTGGCCTTTAGAAGATGATGATGGGAGACCTACCAGGGCTGGCTGCGTATCCGCACCTTGGGGGCCATACAGCGGGCGGGTGTCAGGGCCCGCAATAATAGAGCGCCGAGTGCGTACAGGAGCAGTTACTGGTTCAGGTTTATCTTGACCAGGGCTGGGGGGGACTTGGGCTGCCGATCTGCGGGAAGGCATATTGAGAGGGAAAAACCTGGGAGCGATGACCGAACGGATGGCCTCACAGGGGAAATTCGCTGTTTGCTCAAGGATGACTGGTTGAGGTGGACAACGCGAGCTTTTAAAATATTTACGGCGGCTCGATAGGAGCAAGACCAAGGCCGAACAAGCTGGTCTACTACTTGATGTGGGCCGCAGGATTTTGAGGTTGACAGCCGGTCACAAAGCCCACTTATCTGCTGAGTTTGAGAGGGCAGCCCATAATAACGGTTATCCCTGTGATATCAAGGATATGGTTGCATTCCGGTGGTCGATCGTTGACCACCCCCTTCGTTTTCACTCCCAATTTCCGCATGCCGCCACTTGACCGGGGACTCCTCGTCAGCTGTGTTGTTCTTCTCGCCACCGGTCATGCTTCGCAACGAGCGGGCAAGATGTAGCACATTATTTGTCAATACAAATACTTCTTAAACATACTCGATAATCATGCCTCTAGATTACTGATCCCATGGTCGTTTCAACGGTCAATTTTTGCCTGGTTCATGTAATCTCGCCTATTATTATGCGCTCGCTTGTCGCATATATGGATCGTCCGTACCTACTTACAAATGAGGCGTAGTGGAAGAGCGCACGCCTTAGCGACAACACTTCGTGAGGTCAGGAGGAAATCAAGCCATGAGGATCTAGACTCTCATTAAGACGTAAATAGAATAGTGATTATTTGTTTTTCTGGATTTTCTGCACTAGGGACGGTAGCTATCTTTGATTTACACTCGTCGCAGCTCACTGATACCGGAATGGATTCGCCAGACTTGAGACTCTCTTAACCATGCCTATACACACACAAATTATTAACGCCCGGCGGCTAAGCCGAAAGGGCAACTATCTCTGATCTACTATACATGTCATAATATATATAGTACTGTCTCTCCTTAGAGCCCATACATACAGCCTTGCAGAATATGTCATCTCAGATGTCCGTATCGCAGCGGATCCTCGTGGGTTAGTAATTTTGTTAATAGGCTGGCTTGAAGGCGCTTCTCCAAGTGTTCAACATCCTATTTTCGGCAGTTGAAGCGCGTCTACCATCTGTAGCCCGAGGTGGTTGGTGGGTTAGATCGGCGAAAGGGGGGTGATTTATGTTCTTCGGCATGGTTAGGTGGCTTCGAGCCATGCCTATACACACATACACACAATTTATTAACGCCCGGCGGCTCAGCCGAAAGGGCAACTTCGAGTTCTTGCTTCACTAGGATGAAGCACCTGCATGGAAATACACAACTAATTAGACTGCACTAGGGTTCATTGAACTTTGGTTTATTGATTGACCTGCAAAAAATGAAATCCGAAGCCATGATGACTATTGGCTCCGCGAACTGTACCGCTCAACGCCGACGTATTTTATCATACAATGTTCATTACCTTTTTCAATCCCTGGAGGGAGACTGGTTTGATAAGGTAGTTATCTAACCCCATCATCTTGGCCTGTTTCTGCATTTCATCAGAAGCGACCCCAGTGACAGCCATGATGCAAGATGCTGACATGCCCTTCTCCTTTTCAAACAATCGAATGTTATTCGTAGAATGGAGACCATCCATAACAGGCATCGAGAGGTCTGAGAACGCCGGGTTAAATGCGTATTCTCGAGAATGATACGAGGCAAACTCACCCATTAAAACATGCGTAAAGAGTTTGTCGGATTCCTTGTACTTGTTCAAGGCAATCAGTCCATTTGAAGCAGTTTCGTAACTGCAGCCCAGTTTACGCATGAAGGTGGACATGATCTGTGGACATTCAGCAAAGAAACATAAGGTGAAATGGCGGGGGTACCTTGAGGTTGATGCTATTGTCATCTACAATCAGAACATGGTTTCTAGTATCGTTTCCCGTCGACGGCGGCAGTGTAGCAGGGACAGGAACGCCTGGAGCGCAGACTGGGGTGTGCTCATGTGGCTTTAAAGTTTCAGGATCAGGTAGCGCATCTTCATGAGTATTGAGCACTTGGAACGCAGTCTCAATCTCAGGGGGAGTGGCCGAGTACCCAGTGCGTTTCAGAGCGGAATCGATAGCATTTGCTAGCTTGCGCGGGCCATATCTATTCCAGATCAGTAAGGTAGCCAAGAACGGGTGATCGGGATATACACACGGATGAGAGACGTGAACGATCTCGGCTTTCACATGATCTGTAACTGGGGGTCTCTCGCCCAGCACGATGAAAAGCTTGATCCTGGATTGAGTCACAGACAAAGAATCAGCCTGCATCAACTGCTGCAACTTTGTGTCCTCGATAATCACAACATCGCCGTTCGCTTCGTCTAGATTCTCAGTCAATGAAACACTCCAATTGGGCTGCGCCAAGAAGAGATTGCTCAATGAGCTTTGGATCGACAATTTCCGCTTGGTTTCTGTGCTTAAGATACCAGTTGGCGTTTCATTCAAGTCTGGGCAATCGTTGAAGCCGACAAGACATGCCCGAGTGGCCGGCCTTGAGTCCGGCAATTCGTCATAGCGATCGACTTCCGAGACACCTTCGTCACAGAAATGAATAGGAATGTAGACATCCACTTGCGTCCCAACATCTAGCTCACTTTTGATATCGATGTGGCCTCCAAGTGACGCGACGAGCTTGCGCACAAGACTGAGTCCAAGACCAACACCCCCTGAAAGAGGATCTTCCTGGGAAAATGGGGAGAAGACTGAGTGTCTCAAATAGTCGGGGGATATCCCGCCGCCTGTATCTGTCACTGACAGATGGGCCAGAGCAAGCTCAGAGCCGCCAGTCTTGATACTAGACAGGGCTACCTCGATAAGACCGTGGTCTGTCCATTTCAGAGAGTTTCCAAGAAGACTCATGACGATTCTTCGCCATGCACCTGCCACCGAGCGCACATTCCATGCATCCAGTTCCTCAACCCGGACCACAACAGAGAGTGTTTGTGTGTCGTCCGATTTCGGATTTTCAGTTGAAATGCGCAGAGGGCCTTTGGCTTCAGAATCAGAGTATTTCTTCCCTCGTCGCATTTGTGATGTGGACATGATCTCAGCCACTTGCTCTAGTAAGTCGCCAAGGTCAAATGCAGTTGCCAGGCCAGTCATGTCGAGTTCGAGATTATCGCCGCCTTGATGAGCCGTTGTTGTTAGATTGTTAATCTTTGTAAAGTCCAGCCTGGCAGATAGTCAGTATACTAAGAAATTTCGAGAAAAGACCGATACTGACAGATGGTTCATAACGTCCAACAGCGTAAATCCACATGATTCAATCATCTTGACCATATCGGTCTGACCAGGCTCGAGAGTTGTCGCCCGCAACAGCTCAGTATTGCCAAGAATTCCATGAAGTGGGGAACGAAGTTCGTGACTAATGGAGGAGATGAAGTTCGACTTGGACTTCTCCGTATTTTCCCAGTCGACTCTGGCAACTTCAGAGACAATCGAGTTGCTGAAAGCCTTGAAGAATCCGAGTTCTTCTATGCCCAGAGCACGCTGCAACTTGCTCGTCCAAAGTAGAGTCCCAGCTAGCCAACGTGATTTATTCCAGTCCCAGAGCGGGAAGAAGAGAACCGAGTCTGCCCCAGGAAGTTGTTTAGCTAGCCCACAGCTGATATCACGGAGTGTGTTAATCTCGGTGGTCGAGTCTTCCATTCCACCCAGATAGGAAAGGTAATGGCTGCCAACAGCCCGATCACCCAGCATGAATATCTGTCCATGAGGGAACGCTTCAATCATCTTCCGTAGAAGTTGTTCCGTCAGGAGAATTTGAGGACCGTTCTCAGCTTTCCATGAGGTTGTGAAAGCTTGTCCATAATTTTCGCAGGGGGTTCGAGCTTCTTGCGCCGGTGTTTCATCGCGTTTGAAGCCCGATTGGATCGAAGTGAGCCTGTCAAGGAAACTGGAATGTAATTGCTTTGGCGAGGGCTCCCAGGCATTTGGTGATACGAGCGATTGGCTAAAAATTATCTGTCAATTTGTATCGATAAAGAGACGGTGTGGACATTACTGACGTTCCAGAGTTGCTTTGAAATGCATCCACAAACAGCACTCCATCAAGGTCCATAGAGTCTCTCAAGATGACACTGGCGCGAGAAAATATGGATGCAATAGACTGGGAGATGGATAGGCTGGAAGAAGTCTCCATCGCACGTTTTGCATGAGCCCCGTCAGGCTCAGTCTCGTCGATGCTTTCGGCCCCATCCTGCAAGGAGACCGTTGTGGGTTCGGTCTGAGAAGACTTTTCTCTGTCGAGCGACAACGACAAAAATTCATCCGTGACATGCGTTGACTCCTGATATTTTGTCGTCGTTAAAGATGCCACAGCGGGCAAGTAATTGCTATCCGAGTCAGATTGACCAGAAGGGCCGGCAAAGGGATGTGATTCTTTGAGCTCGGCGTCGGGGTCTGAGTGATGTGTGACAAGATCAGTGACTCCTGTCACAAGTTTCTCAGCCCGGCGATGGAAATGCACTATTCGAGCGCTTTCAAGGTATTGGGCCGTGGCATCTGCCAATTCCTGCAACAAGGCAACCTCGGCATCTCCAAATGCAGAGCGCGGCGTGTCGTCCACGACGCAATAGGAACCCAATACATGACCGGAAGGGCTGAAGAGAGGCACCTCGGCATAGAACCGCATATGGGGCCAACCGACCACGTACGGCCGATCCTTGAAACACTCTTCATCTGCAAAGTTGCGAATAATGTATCGTGTACGGCTGGCGGTGATATTGGGGGTATCGAGTTCCAGCGAAGCATCTTGGGCCGTGAACAACTTGATCGTATGAGGGCAGACTCCCCAGGAAAGGTCCAAGGTTCTGAAACCTAGATATATGCCGTCGTCTGGCAGGTGCTGGTCCCTATGTCGCAGGGATATAGAGGTCGTCGTTTCGGCAATGATGTGTTGACTTTGGCCATCGATGACTGAAATAAAAGACCGGTTACAGCCAAATCGGTAAACACCCAGTTGTGCTAGGGCATTGAGTGTGATGTCGGGGGATAGGTAGGCGGCTCCGGGCTGCTCGTCTCCCGTCGGCGCAGCCTCGCCGGACGACTCATGATGACTGAAGGTGCAGTAGTACCTATTCACAAAATCTATGTCAGTACCGGTAATGCCAACGGAAGATCACAACACAAAAGACCATGGACTCAGGTGATGGGATGTACTTTGATAGTTCGCGGATGCGCTCTTGTTCTGCCACCGATGTTGGGGGGTGGTCCGGCCCCCGGGCCGCATATAAGGCCATGGTTTACTTCGCAACGTGTCTGTGAGACGTCAATTTGAATGGCCATAAGAGCACGGAGACACAAGATCAATATGTAGACCCTAGTCACATGAAGGCTTGTGGAGGTGCAAAAATCAAAGATCGAGTGGGGGAGTGGGCTAGTTCGTTCCCCGACAAAAGTGACCTGTAACCTGTTTGAGCCGGATAAGTCACTCACCGCTTTGCCACTCGGGCCTGACTAGGCTCCGTCGCATTCCCGTCACGTGGTCCTTGATCCTTAAGTAATCCGCAAGTGCACTTGGGAGTTGATACGCGAACCCCAAGAATCCCTGCTAAGAACTGAGGAGTTCTAGATCGTCGATGCCGCGAAAATTTCGAACGCTTGGCTGAGGATTAAGCTTAGTGTACCGACACATTGGGATTTTCTTATCGTCTCGCCTAATAATCCCAACTGCGCATCAAGTTGACCTATTCGCGCGGACGGGACTACCCTCATTAGGAACGAATCTCCAGAGAATCCAGCTTTGTTGGATGATTAAATGAAAACAAGCCAACGAAAAGCCGTGGGTGACTTATAATCCACAATCCCATCTACATGCGTTCGACTATAATGCAAGCATAATCAATTGCCAAAAAAAGGGGGCTTGTAAGCTAGCATGCACTATGGCAGGTTATGCATGACTATGAGTTCATATTCAAGCTTTGCTTTGTATGCATAACAGCAGGCGTTTGCAGGTTAGGACTCCGCGCTCAAACCACGTGTGTACCCAAGCTAGTGGCGGCATTGGTCTGAGCCAAATTTCCTGAGAACCAACTGAGAGATAAAGCCCGGCCGAGAGAGTTTCTCAGCCAATGGCCCTCAATTGCTATTCCTGGAATCCGGTGCCGTGGGCCTGGTCCGCCTGGAAGTGCGGTGATATGATGACTTTTGCGCTAAGGAGCCTTCTACCGGCTTCGATCTACTTGTCGGTTATTTATCCCTTGGAAAGAGAGGCAAAATAGTACCGCAGTACTCCGTATGGTTTTTGGGCATAGTGTGCTTGTCGGATCCGCGGCTGTCTATTGCAGCGTGTTCCACGACTATATGAGCCGACCAATCACCAAGGTGTCTTTCCTTTTTCCGTGCTCTTTTAACCTATCATTTTTGGACTATATCACTGAGCTCCGGGCTGTGCACTCCCTGGAAATTTTCTTGGATTCTCGAAGGGTTGATCCTCTTCCGGATCTCTGAAGATGCACGTCTTGTCTGTCTTAGGGTTCGCCGGCCTCTCGGCGGCTTCCGCTATTTCCAGCGTTGCCGTTCCGGTCACTACAACAACTGCCATTGCTACGACTACTTCGACTACGTCTACTGCGACGACAGATTCTACGTCAAGTTCTTCAAGTAAGGGGCTCAAATACCGGCAAAAGTCCATTGAACTAACCTGTCTGCAGCTTCTACAACCGTCGTCACCGTCGCAACAGACAGCAGTGGTCAGTTCACCATGATTGGCGATGCTACCACCTATGCACAAAGCCATGGACTCCCGACCGTGACCGTCCTTGCGGCTACATATACTCAAGCGGTGGCTGTATCTGCAACTCCTACCATGACTGTCATTGGTCAAAGGGATGTCACCGACGACTACACTCAGAACAAAGTCACCCTAGCCAATGGCGGTACCATCCTGACTAGGCTGCGGCATGTCGTACGATAACGATAATGGGTCATTATCATCATCGTCGTTGCAGATATCCGCGGATATATAAACGATAGTTTGGATATCAGCAGACTATCCGCACTAGCATAATATTCGCTAATATATCCTATTCTGGACCATTAGGTGATACTTATGAAGCTTACAAAACATTATTTTGCATCTGAGTTTTTACATGTATGGTCGTAAAAGTACTCGTCCCCTATTTCCTTCACATCTTCTGGGAAATATCAAGAAACAGTATTGCATTCGTAAATAAATGTCCTCTGCATAGAAAATTGATTTTAAGTATATAGCGAGCGAGTTGTAGTCACCTGTAATTTTGTGATACTGATTAATGGGTGGCGGTTTGGCAGTAGACCTGGCTTTGAACCGCCCATAGGTTCCAAATCTCAGAACCTGAACCTAACCTCTTGAGGTTAGGTTCCAAACTTTTTAACCTGGACCTAACCTTAACCTCAAGGAGGGTCGTTGAGGTTCAACCTCATGAACCTATATGAACCTGCATATGCATAATTTGTTGACGCTTTTCCTCTTTTGGCTGGATAAAAGTGATGATTCATCTCTAATTTGACAGCTGTTTTGTTGACCTGCCGGCGTTCGTCTGATTACTCTGTCAACGTGGTGAATTATGAAGAAATAATTGTTCAGAAGTAAACAGAAGACAAAGCCACTGATAAATTACAAGTAATATTCGATGATATCGACGTGGTAGGTGATCAGTAGAGGTCATCGGCGAAATTGCACGTAAAGATGCAGATATATATATTTTGAACACTGTAACCCATGTATATCTTGACAAGGAGAACTACATGTTATGGAGTAAACCACTACGATATAGATGAAATCCCCTCATTTTTATACAAAACAAATCCTTATGCCTCCCTCTATGAATTTGTCTCGAAGGATTTAGGTCAAATTATCTATATCTATCGTGAATCCAGTCTACAGCTTCTCATCGTTAGACTTAGCCATTTAAACAAGACGATTTTCCTAACTTAAGGTTAACCTCCAGGTTCTATGCGGGTAAGTCAGGTTAAGTTCTAGGTTCTGTACGGATACATGAGGTTAACTTTCAGGTTCTATGCGGGTAAGCGAGGTTCTCTTCTAAAATGATGTGACCCTCCCACTTCTGCTTGTAACGGGCAATGCGTAAGAAGGCCACAGACTGCATGTTTTGTGACGAGGCTAAAGGGTACTTGACAGTGCGCATCTGGCCTCTCCTGTTGTAACGGAGCGTGTACCAACCTCCTGACCAGCCAAAGCAACTGTGGAGCTTGCGGGAACACTGTAAGTGCGCAAACTGCATATTGTGTGGCAAAGACTAAATGGTGCTCTAGCGCGCGTCCGGCCTGACATGCTGTAATGGGGCGTGTAACAACCTCCAGAACGACCCAAATAACTGTGGCACTTGTGGAAACACTGTGAGTTGAACCTACGTCTGATACAGCCAGCCGGGCTGGCATTGTATTGATGTTCTTGCTTCTGACTCGATGAATCCGCACCTCTCTAGTGCTCCCCTGGTTCGATGTGCTCATCGGGCGCCTGCAAATGCACAACTTTCCAGGGTTTCCAGGACCAGACCACATACACCGTGGTAAACTTCCCATATGGTGTTGCCGTGGCAGACTTCAATGGAGATGGCCATCTTGATGTCGTGAGTTCGGGTCTCCGTACCGGCGAGAATGCAGTTAGTATCTTGCTCGGGACTGGGACGGGAACCTTCCAGCCGCAGACTACATTCCCCGCAGGGTCTGGACCTGCGGGTGTTGCGGTGGGTGACTTCAACAAAGATGGAAAGATCGATATCGTGGCTTCAAACCTCGGCGCCCTTCAAGTGAGTGTCTTGATTGGCAATGGTGATGGAACCTTCCAGTCGCCGACCGCATACGGTGTGGTGACCAATCCGTATAGTGTTGCGGTGGGAGACTTCAGCGGAGATGGAAATCTCGATATCGTGGCTACAAATTACGTCGATTCCTCGGTGAGCATTTTGCTTGGAAATGGTGATGGAACTTTCCAGCCGCAGGTCAGGGTCGCCGTGGGAGGCTTCCCGCTCGGTGTTGCGGTGGGCGATTTCAATGGAGATGGCAAGCTCGATATCGTGGCTGCAACCTCTGGCGACAGTACGGTCAGCGTGTTGCTTGGAAATGGCGATGGAACCTTTCAGACGTTCACCGCATACGCCGTGGGATCTAATGACCTTGGTGTTGCAGTGGGCGATTTCAATGGAGACGGCAAGCTCGATATTGTGGCTGCTAATAACGGCGGCAACTCAGTGAGCGTGTTGCTCGGAAATGGTGATGGAACCTTCCAGACACAGACCTCCTTCCCTGTTGGGTTAGGGGCGTATAATGTTGCAGTGGGCGACCTCACCGGAGATGGCAATCTCGATATCGTGGTCACAAACTATAACAGTAATACGGTGGGTGTCCTGCTTGGTGATGGATCTGGAGGCTTCCAGACGCAGGTCACGTATCCCGTGGGGTCCGGGCCGCTTGCTGTTGCCTTGGGCAATTTCAACGAAGATGGTCGTCTTGATATCGTGGAAACAAACTCTCGGGGAAACACAGTGAGCGTCTTGCTGGGGATAGCCTGCCCTACTTAAAATGGCCATGGATACCGTAGACCAGATATATTGTTGGGGTGTGTACACTCCCAGTCACCGAGACCACACCCGTGCCAGCTGCCCCTCTTATCCTTTACCTCATGGTTGTAAGAGTTGATATCATTCCACCATACACCACTTGTCCTAGAAGAACCGCAGCCGAAGATTCCTGGACATCATAGCTTGCCGCTCCTTGCAATAGTAAGCCTTTCAGCCTTGCTGCCTAGACTTCCGCAAACTACCAAAATGGGCCCGGACCTCGGGCCCAGGGCCCAACCCAACCCATAGCCCATTGATGGGGACCTACTTGGCCCCAATAAAGCCCATTTCTTTGCATAAATATAGCCTTGTCGTTCATAAGGCTGCTGATTGATGATCTTTATTTACAACCGGTTTGGCCTTTAAGCGGAATTTCTCGGCCCGAAGGTCTTGAGCCGATTTAGTAGTTCGACCTTTTATAGAAGATAGTATAGAAATATATATTTAGTACAAGCAAAAGTAGGTGCGGCGTTCTTACTTTAGGATTATAATCTCTCTCACTTATCACTATTACCCTTAAATATATGTTTATAATATCACCCTCTATAAAAACCTTTCTCAAAACAAGATATCATACAAAAAATATCAGTTATAAAGCTCCATCTATTTCCTATACTAACTATTGTAATGGGGAAACTGCGCCACTTCCAGGCTGCGGCACTTCTTCATGTATGAGAGTATTTCAGTCCGCAGTTAGGCACCTTAGCAATTTAAACCCTACACACTTCTCAAAAAAGAGCTTTTATTCATTGCATTGCCCATTCAGGGGCCCCTGCTTCCTCCCTAGCAGCCCCGTCGTGCACTGAGCACCCCTACCGTCTTGTCTGCGATGTCAGACCGCCAGCGCGCTCTTCCCACTTCACTATAAAGTAATCTAAACACTCAAAATACTGTCAAATTCTACATTATGAGAATACCAAGAGTTGGCACATTTGTATAGTTCAAAGGCCAATAGACCCCCACCCAAAGCCCATAACCCATGAATAGGTTCCAGATTGGAGCTAGCCGAGCAATCTTTCAGCTATCAGCTACTACATGCTATCTTTGGTTTTCTTCAATAACCTGCTTTGTGGTGGCCTTTCCCACCGAAAGCAGTATTGCCCCTTCTCTAGTGCAATGCGTCTCGAGCGCTCACCCGTTTGCCAAATAGTTTCCCCTTCCTCTGTCCAACCCAGCTCAAAGGGCACATTGTAGTCTGGAGGGGTTGGGAGATCCGGCCATGTAAGCCGCTTGGGTGCATTCAAATATCGTTCTGTGGCTCTGTCGGTTCTCGTCGCTATCCACTCATTCAGAAACTTGCGAAACTTTGATACATCAGAGTCTAGTTCGCGGCGACAAGTCCATTCAATGTTCTGTACCATGTCCATATTTCGGTCCCAGTGAGGAATGCTTGTGACATGTGTATCGTTGGTGATGATCTCATATAGAGTGAATACAACACCAGACACGTCCTCTCGACTATCCAGTAGACCTTCCTTCCCATTGGCGGCCCAATCAAAATCGAAGAGAATAATCTTGTCTGTCTCGGGGTCGACAAGCAAATTCCGTGGTGCAATGTCTTGATGCATGATCCCTAATTCTAGGTTCAGAAAATCCACTCGCTGAGTAAGCTGCTGTAACCATTCAAATCGGAAAGGCCTTTTTGGATCGGCGTCGGCTAGTGTTCCACCTGGGATGTACTTTGTTGTGAATCCAATCACTCGAGACTCCACCTCCTCGAGAATAATGCGGTCAAACGGTATCATATTAGGATATGGCGGCAGTTTGCTGAGCAGGTTCATCTCCTTCCAGGACATTTGCAGTCTCCGAGGTATACCAAGAGGGTTGAATTTGAATGCAACTGTGTGATCATCATACGACATAAGATCGACACCCGGTCCAAGCCGATCGAGCTCTCGAAGTTGAGAGAAGTAGATGGTGGGGCAACCTGCGAGTGATTGACATATTGATAATGGAAGATATCCAACAAAGAATGTATCATCTTCTTCCGGGTCTATCGACACCCCAGTAAGAAGCCCGTCATCGTTGACCGTGATTGCACGAACCTCTGGGGAAAGGGAATCAGCAAATTGCGCAAGAACTGAGGTCTCAATATCTTCTTCGGGTGGAAAAAGCTTGGCAGTTCCTTTGACTTTGATCAATCGGAGCTGATCCCAGTCCCAGACGTTGCAATGAGTTTCGGTTGCAGGGTTTTCCCTCGCGCCAAACTAGCCCTGGCCCTCTGAGAGGAATCTGTCTTGCGGGTCAATCATGGCGAAAGGAACAATGAAAAGGATATTTGGATACTGGTGTGCTGGTGGTGTGGATAGGTCATATCAGTGGTCCCGCGAAGGGGGTTTTATATTCCAGAATCATGTTAATGCGGTGCAAATCGGCAGAACATGCTTGAAACCTGGAACCGTTTGACGCGCTTTGTGAATCGAATCATGGGAGTGCCTATGATATTACAAAATATTCAAAAATGGAGAATGCTGGAGGTGCAAGCGTGATCTCGACGCTTGGACCTGTGCCATTCAAAACGCGATAAGTAGAAAAATTGTGAATCCTTCAACAATAAAGTTGGTTACCAAAAACTGATGACATGAAAATGTCGATTTTTGACCGCTCGGCCAAAAAGGTGGACACCTTCTTAGCTGAGCTGAGAACGGTGTATTGTGGTGTAATGTGCGTTCTGACAAAAACTTAGTGTTGTTTCTTAGCGGTTAACGACAGGTTATGAGTGGCTAGGAGCAAGTGCCTCGAGTGAAATGATGCTTGGCAGTTGGATCACACTTGACTACGTCTCCTCGTAAGTCTCATAACCAACAGGGGACACCCAACCAACAAGGGTATAGGTGGGCTGCATAGATGCCAGCCGCGCGCGATGTGAGTGAGGGTCGAGATGTCACAAGCTCAGCCATACAGCCCAAATCAAAAATCGAAGTGTGACTTAGCAGCGAATCAATGATAATAGCTGACTCCATCACTTCATCGTAGATTCTCTCTGCTATCATATAGAAAAAGGTCGCTCATAATATACTCCGAATCCATAATGTTGTCACCCATAGAAAATCCCGATTTAGCACCTCAAGCCAGCATTAGCAGCAGTGCGTGACATAGAGGGACTAGCGTATGCAATGTACTTCCAAGTCATTGATCAATCTGGATATATATCCCTCCTGAGTTTTGAATAATAAGGAACACATTCTTGGTCCCCAGATCTCCCTCAGTATCCTGGGTACCCAAGTCTCTCATAATTTATCGTAAGCCCATGAAATTTTCCCGCGTTACGAACGATTCGAGTGGCATGTAAAACCGGGAGAGGTCGATATGGAACTGCGATATCTCAAGACCACAGTCAGTAAATCCTCAGGGGGTTTCCTCGCTTCCAACACGTACAGTCGAGTTCCTTAAGACAATAAATGTCTCATTAATTACTGAACTACGCAATGTGTCCCTGGTCTCTCTTATTCGAGAAGGCCAGCTGATGAAGTCAGACTCCTATGGCCGTACTGTCTTTGCGAACCTCTGGTCTGGCCCTCCTCGCTGGCATCCTGTGATTGACGGCTATATCCTTCTCTATGATCATGGAAATGCTTTGAGACTGGGCGCCCATGCTGAAGTTCCAATCATGACGGGCAACAATCCGAACGAGAACGATGGCGTTGCTTCCAACGTGTCCGAGTCCAAGAACCTGTGGACCGAAGTTTTCCAGAAATACTTCTCAGAGTTCTTCTCTCTTTATCCTGCCAAGAGCGCAGCCCAAGCTAAGGAGAACTCTGATGCTGTTCTTTGGAAAGAATGGCTCAGACTGGTATTTGAGACTGGACCAGGATGTGACGCCAAGGAGGCGCAAGGTCAAATGGCTTCCGTTACTTCTTTGACACCGCTCCTGCAGAGGAAGAGTCTGGTGGTGCTTACCCCGGTGTAGAGCTCTGGTTTGTTGTAAGTGCCTTTTTCCGGAGATTCTGTTTCCTCAATGCATGATGAATGTCAGATTTCAAATCAAAGCCAACAAGGCATCAGACCAACAACATTGCCTACTCAGACAACTCGACAGTCAGCTGGAATGAGTCGGACTACAAGGTTGAATCCGTGATGTCCAGCTGCTGGGCTAAATTCACCAGGACTGACAACCCCAACAGCGACGGTCTGACCTACTGGAGCCCATCCTCGGACAACAAAACAGCCATGCACCTGGGTAAATACTTTGGTGCTGTGCCAATCGCCAAATCCGCTGAGCGCATCAGCTTCCTCCGTCGCTGGATGTCTCTCTTGCACGAGTACTGGACGAGAAGATGCAGGTGTTAGGTGAAATTTCTCTGTTGTAGAACATGTCATTGTTGCATAGTTTCAGTCATTGTAGTTATATCATTGGAGGTCCCGGTGCTGACAAGGAAAACCACGCGCAAGTGAAGATCCTACATAAGGTACAATCATTCTTCAACATAATTAGCACCAAAGGTACAAATGTAAGGCTTGCTTAAATAAGTGAAACAGTGTGAATCGGCAGGCCTCCGGGCCGATGATCTCTTCCTATCGCGAAGTGGCGAAAAATCGAAATACGGGCGAGGATACCGAATTCGGAAGCGCGACCCGAAGTAGCTCGAATCTAAAGCTGAAGTTAATAGCCTCGAACACTCCAATACACCCAGCCGGTGATGGAACGAAAAATCAGAGTCATCATAATCACCAGCGCGGTTCTTTTGCTATTTTGCTTCTCTCTATCGACGTCTCAAACCCAGAAGGACCCGAAATGCCTTTCCGTCTACATGTCATTCGGCATGCACAGGGCACTTACAACACCAAGCACGGGATAACGATATTGTGGGCGCCGTTGAAAGAAAAAGGCATTCAACAATCCGAATATTTAACGTTGAGCCTTCCCATTCAAAGAGAAGGTTGGATTAGTGATAACCTCTACGCTTCAGCGCACTCTCTCCACGGCAACCGTCGGCTTCGAACGATCAATCGATGAAAATTACCATACCAAAAGCCATGGGAAAACAAAAATCAAGATGGCGCGCAGCTATTCCTTGAGCTAGATGCGCAGGCGCATGCGGCACGGCCATGAGACACTGGTTCAGAGATTTCGATCCTGCAGTCACAACACCCCAATCTCTCCTGAGATACACTAGACATAGATCCTGCATTCATTACGAGCGAATTTACATATGTATGCGACTGATGCGGAATCATTGCAGCTGCATGGATCGAGTCTCCAACGTCGATTAGAGGGTTATTTTAAGAAATCTTAGAACAGCGGACGTCAGGACATTGTTGTTTCCCATGCATGGCAGCTGGCTAAGATGCGTTGTTGGGCAGACATCACTCTGAACAGTAATCCCGAGGAGACACCCGTGGAATCTTGTTCGGAATGGCTTCGTGGCTTACTCCTTGGCTCCGGCCCGGGGTGCCCACTTTTACACCCGAATGCTTCGCGTCTAATTCAAGTCTCGGCCAGTCACCGTGGAGACGTATATCCGATTAAAACAGTACCTTTCAACCTACGATCTTTGCTGCTTTAATACTGATGAGGGAATTTCAGGGACAGTCGTTCGTTAGTAGCCACGTACTCTTCCCTGGAAAGCAATCATGAATCTTGCCTTAAATGGATTGCGATGGTCTGCTGGACAGGACCAACAATCCTTTTCATCTCGGATTGGACTCTTTCTTTCCTTTTCTATTCGTTATTCTGATGATCTTTTCTTGAAGGTCTTCTTCTAGCCCCATTATGAAGCTGCTTTCCAACCTCGCCGCTCTGGCAACTTGTGGCTCCCTCGCCTTTGCCCTGAAGCCTCCAGTCATTGATACTCACTACGGTACTATCCACGGTGGTCTCTCCCCGTTCGCAGGGGGTGACCAAGCATTCGTATACAAGGGTATCCCATATGCCCAGCCGCCCACCGGCGCCAACCGATGGACGAAAGTCAGTGGTCCTAGCTATTGGGGAGAGCTCAATGCCACTGAATTTGGCCCACAATGCGCACAAACAATCAGCGATGCAGGCATCTTCTCCAGCGGCAAGAACACGACCAGTGAGGACTGTCTAACACTCAACATCTGGACCCCGGCGTATAAGAACCAGTCCGACATGTCCTCAAAGAAGCTGCCCGTTTTCTTTTGGATCTACGGTGGTCGTTTCACGGGTGGCTCTGGTGATGTCAGGACCTACGACGGTACCGGCTTCGCGCAGAAAGACATCATCGTGGTCACTATCAACTATCGTCTAGGACCCTTTGGATTCCTTGCCCATCCCGAATTGACTGCTGAATCAGGCACAAACAGCTCAGGCAACTACGGTATCCTGGATCAACAAGCCGCTCTGCACTGGGTCAACGAGAACATTGCCAAGTTTGGTGGTAACCCCGACCAGATCACTGTCGGTGGACAGTCCGCTGGCTCGGCTAGTGCTCTCGATGCTATGTGGAGCCCTCTGGCTGAAGGCCTTGCTGCTGGGATCATCGCGGAGAGCGGTGCCCGCGGACCTCACGATCCGATGACTGGTACGGTGGCCACTTCATACCGGACCAAGAAAGCCGCCGAGGCACAAGGTGGTAAGTTGGATGCGAACCAGCGCCAAGGTTTATTCAAATGTTGACCTATACCCACAGTCAGGTTCCTGAAGACAATGGGGAAGAGTTCAATTGCTCAGCTCCGAAACGCTTCCATGGAAAGCCTCCTTGAATACGACGGCATTTCTGACACCATCTGGGAGGGGACTCAGTTCGAAAACTTTACCGATGCATTCATGGAGCCCCCTATGTGGCGTCCTAACATCGACGGCTACGTTTTCCCGGACACCTACGCTGAAGCTTTGCGCAACAACTCTCATGCCGATATTCCCGTCTTGACTGGAAACAACGCGGATGAATCCGGGGCTACTCCGACTCTGACCTATTTCGCCTCTAAGTACCACGAGCTGTTCAGCGAACTCTTTGGTGACCTTTCGGCTGAGTTCTTCTCATTGTATCCTGGTAAGAACACCACCCAGGCATCAGAGAGCGGCAAAGAGTTCTGGAGAGACCTGGGTCGCGTCGGAACCTGGCGCTGGGCACTTGACTGGGCTGCTGGTGGTGCGAAGAAATCTGTTTACACCTACTACTTCAACCACTGGCCCGCGGAACAAAGATCCTCGGGCGCCTACCACGGCAGTGAACTTTGGTATACGTGAGCGATTCCTTGAAACATTCTCCAAGTCGCACCAACTAACGACGATGCAGGTTCAACAACATTCCCTATTCTTCGTACAGCAATGTAACATGGAACGAAGAGGATTACGCAGTCGAGAAGAAGATGGCAAATTACTGGGCCAATTTCATCCGAAACGGCAACCCTAATGGCGATGGGCAGGCTCAATGGAAAGCCTCCAAGAAGAATGCGCAGACTATGTGGCTGGGAGACCAGTGGGGAATGGGCCCTCTCACCAAGGACAACAAGCGCATTGAGTTCCTGCACAAGTGGACTTCGAAGTTGCCTGCATGGTAGTTGGCTTGTGCAATTCATACATACTGTGTGGACTTTGGTCCACGTCCCATCCTTTTGTGTGATATGTGGAACCTAGATCTCTTCTATGTACATACTCCTGCTCCCGAAGCATCGCTCTTATCGATATGGTATAAACTGTCTTCAAACCTCGGCTCATTCATGCTATGCACAACTAAATACCTTTACTACGATTTTTCGAGTTTTTGCTCACTATGTCTCATTCGTTCTTACTCTATCGCAGCCCTCGCTCTAAGGTAGTTCTGTGTTCTTGGTCCCGAGGTCTAAGTGCCTATACGAAATGCGCTCTAGGCCTCGGATTCAACATAAGTATGATTGGCGCACAGAATCAAGAAAGCTACATTTGAACACGTTTCAGGATGATTGTCGGCGCAATACATAGATAAAGCTTAACATGATCCTTACAAGTTTCGGAATCCCCGCGACACATACTCAGACCCACAGGCGCAGGAAGACGCGTACCCCAGAAAAACCAAAAGCGATTGTCCAAGAGGAGAGGTGGATATTCAGGTACGACAACTTGCCTTGAGTGGAACCACATCCCGAGCACTCAAGGGACTTCGGGGTTCGGCGTTGCAGATCTTCGCCTTGTCTAAAGTCCGAGCACCCGACTATCCACTTTTATCGCCGAAAACATATTCGCTTCACAGACAAGATCCACAACCGGCATTTGGGACCAGCAGAATGTGGTCTAACGCTGATTGATTGCCGATCTTTACGCCCCTGACGTGGATGTCAATTAGGCATGGCACGAGTACTAGTGCGATGAAAAATGCAGACACGCTCCTTGTTTCAGACACCATGCATTCAGGTGAATTTCTGGATTGCCGCGGTTCTTCTCGGTCTTGAAGATACCTATTTAGGAAGTCATACCGGTCTCTTGGCGAGAAGAGAATCAGTATCGTACCATGACAATAACACGCTATGTACTCGGTGCAAGTGTTTTCCGTTTCGTGCAGCAAAATCGCTATACAAATGCATATCAGGCAGTGGCCTTTCCTATTTAGAACAGCCAACAGTGTCGTCGCGTTGATCAATCCAATGAGATCGTGGCTTGATTAGGATCGACACAGCCCTCCCACGAAACAAGGTGCTGTAGATGGGAAGCTAATTGATGCTTGACCGTTGGTGTCATGAAGATGGAACTGCTTTCCATCCTATCGGAGCATGATTATTCAATTCTCTTCATACATTGGTAAGAATTCAAAGGTATTTCTTCTATATCGGTAACACTTGGCAGCCAAGTCTCGGACTGAATTGTCGTTTCCAGAACGGCATCTCGGCTGACGCAGACGTGTTTGAATAATTCCGAGGGGAAAAATCTACATCAGGAACTCCGGTCGCTGATCCCAATGAATGTTGCCTTGGCAGGTGGGCACGCTCCATTCAAACACTTTTCTCGAAGCCAAGCCCCGATATCTAAGCTTTAGCGACGATTCTGTAAGCTGCTGGATGTGTGGAACATTCCGGGCGAATTAGACTGGCCTTAAAATCTCAAGATGAAAAGGACAAGAACTACAAATGGTACCTTGCTTCCCTGTTGACGATCCCCATTGCTCTTTCGCCCCATACTCTCACTTCTCCTTGTCAATTGACGGCATTTGAAATGCGTCTCAGCATTGCTTCTGTCGTGAGTCTTGTCATCGCGCCTACGTTGGCAGGTTGTCCCTATGCCCGAGACCTCGGCTTGAACATTGACGATCATGAAAGCCCTCACACTCATCTGCCTCGAGATATCGCCTCAAAGAGCTCTGCTGCACCTATCGCATCTCCCACGACCGTCGCTGGAAAGAAGGGTGTCTTTTATAGTAAGTATTTATAGATCTACCAGTCGTCATGTCACTTGATCAGAAAGGCTTACACAACCAGTGAACCGTATTGGGCCCTCAGGATCACAGCTGTGGATTTCCAACGCAGATGGCACCAACGCGACCACGTTGATGGGCAACCAGACCGCTGCATTTGACTATCATCCCACCTGGTCGCCGGACGGGAAGTGGGTCGTGTTCACTAGCGAACGTCGCGGAGCAGGCCAGTCGGACTTGTACCGCGTGCACCCAGATGGTAGCGGGCTGGAACGGATCGTGGCCACAGACAGCGCTGAAGATGCTGGCACAATGTCACCTGATGGAAACACTCTGGCCTACGTTTCGACGTATGGTAACTATACCATGAATGTCTGGGTCAAAGACCTTAAGACAGGCATTTCGCGCAACCTTACCGATACCCCGGGGAATCGTGCCGACAACACCTGGCCCACTGGGCACTATCGTCCTGCATGGTCTCCCGACGGAAAGTGGCTGGCTTTCAGTTCGGACAGGAATAATGACTGGACAGGGCACAGCGAAGGGTAAGTCCATTATCAAAGCGTTGCCTCTACTGGAAGCAGCAACTGATCATCTTTCTAGAGTTGGATGGGAGCACACTCAAAATCTTGGTCTGTATGTGGTTCGTTCTGATGGCTCCGGTTTTCGTAAGGTGCTTCATGAGGATGGCTTTTCTTTCGGTACACCCCAATGGTCACCCAACGGAAAACGCCTTATTTACAACAACATGACGAGGGAAAACACGTACTATGCGCATGGTGTCTCTAGCGAGCAGACGGCAGTTGCTGCTCAGATCTACAGTGTTGACGTCGCCACTGGAAGGAATATCATCAAGCATACTTCCGATAGCAATCTGAAGGTTGGCCAACACTACATCGCCAATTCGACCAATATCGGCTATGTGATCAAAGCAGGCGATTCGGAGGGAGTCGGCTACACCTCTCCTGGCAAGACACACAAAGCTTTCAATCTGACTGGTCTTCGTGAGCCTTCTTGGTCTCCTGATGGCTCCAAGATCGTCTACAACATTCTCAACTGGGATCAGCAGGCAAGTAATCTAAAGCTATGGAGCTTTGACGACGAATGGGACTATCGGTATGATCTCACTACAACGTTTAATGGGAGAATCCTTCTGACTCTTTTTCAGCTACATGGATGTCTTCCCCTTGCACAACACGGCTTCCAACACCCTAGCAATCACCCAAAAGGTCCTTGGAGGAGCTAATAGCTCCCTCGTTGTTTCATCAACAGACTACACAGACCTGACCGACTCGCTGGACTCTTATGATATCTATTCCGCCGACAACAGCACCGAAGTCACATGGCTTGAAGGAGGTAACTCGGGTGCCTTCCAGCCTTCATGGAACCCAGATGGCGACGAGCTTGTCGTCGGATTCGGTGCCTGGTTCGTCACTCGGTCCACCGACACCGCCGCTATCTACCGCGTCGCAGCCAACGGCAGCTCTCACACCAACCTCACTGATTGGGAAAACAACGCCGGCTTCCCCGCCTGGTCTCCGGATGGGTCGGCAATGGTGTACCGTCTCTGGAACATCGAAACCGGTGCTCCTCAAGGACTCCAGCTTCACAACTTCACAACTGGCGCGACTACCAAGTTGACGCACGGCTGGGATAACACCCCCGGGTGGGCCCCTAATGGCGAGCGCATCGTCTTCACCCGTAATAACAACTGGACTGAAGCCTACGGATCCCGTTGGTATGCCGATCGCTTTGATATCTACACGGTCCGTCCCGATGGCTCCGATTTGACCCAGGTCACGGATAGTCTGGCAAATGACGCCCAGTAGGCTTCTATTCTCACCCCTGAGTCGTAAGATGCTAACATGTCACAGTGCTGTTTGGTCTCAAGATGGCCGCATCATGTGGTCTACTGGAATGTGGGGTTTCAAAGATGAAAGCGCCCTCCAGGATAACACTTTCCAGCCTTATGGTCAAATCATGGTCATGGAACACGACGGTTCTAATAAGCATCTTGTCACCGATACTCTCTGGGAAGATTCTATGCCGCTCTACATGCCGAATGAGTACCTCGAATAGGTTCTATGCAATAACAACAGATGGAGGTATATAGTTGAAAATTGGAGGAATTTCATCCGATCAACACGTCTCCTTTGACCCTTGCCCAGGTGGAATAAGGCACTTGGTAGTGAGACAAAAAGCTGCTATAGATCTGTAATTCCAAAACTCTCACCTTAGACATTACTCAGCCTGGACCTTGGAACCTTCAATGTTAGAAAGCCGAACCATGCGCTGGAGGGGTCCGGTTATGTGCACGTATCCGGCCCCGAGCGCAGGGGATAACATATGATGTTGGAACTAGACCTCGCCAAAAACATTTAGAGGGCGAGCATCGCCCGCCCTCCGCCCGACCCACGAGGGCAGAGGGCAGGTAAGAGCCCGCCCTCGCCCGGCCCTCAGCCCTCGCGAGGGCCGCCGTCATCAGCCCTCATCCGCCCTCATTTACATAAAATTTTGCGACCTTTCCTAACTGAGCTGTATAATTCTGCTGATTCACCCTCATAGATTACCGTTTTTGAACAGTGTTTTTGTTTTAATAGTAGGTTTACTAGATATTTTCATACATGCGCTTAGAAATTCGAGGGAATTCACTTCTATTTTGATGAACCATAGCAGGTGATAGTATAATTACAGAATTATCATATGTTGAGATGTAGTGGTAGTTTATTGTCATAGAAATCTATAATTCTGTAGTCTCAGTGTCAAGAAATATATATTCATCATGTAGGCAGGTGATGCATAAACTACATCTAACAACCACCATATTAATTCTTGACGTTCCCCTCTTAGTAGGTTCATTATATTAATACTAGTAGATATTGGGCTTCTTACTATTGTTCTATATAATGAAAGGGCTTTATGGCTTTATAAGAGATGAGTATGACTTTGACGTTTAAAATATGAAAGAATTCTGGTTGATTTCAAACTAGGTTCGGGGGCATTTGACTCAGCGAAAAAACGAGGGCCGATCTCCGATTTGAGGGCGACCCGCATAATTCGAGGGCTCATTCGAGGGCCGCCCTCAACCAGCCCTCGGAATTGAACCAATCAGGAGAGGATCCCTATAATAAATGGGTCTCAATGTGATACATTACATTGATAGAGGAGTAGGCCTAATTTGAAAGGAACGTTGAATCTGTTTGTTAGCACAGGTGGACTTTTTAGTACAAAGTAGGTCTCATCCAACCCTCCAAGTCCTATCTATCTTCTAGATCTACGCAGTACGAAGGACCATTCAATTAACAATGTCCCAGTTATCTCTATTCTCGGATGCCTACCCGTCATCTCTTTACGAAGGGGATACAATTGACGGTCTCTCCTTTCCGAACGACCAATTCCATAATCCTGATCTCTCAGGAAGCCAGCAAACAAGTGACTCAGTATCGAATCCCGGGTTTCTTACGCCGATTCCTCCCCCTTCGGTACCTCCTTCACTCGAGCGCGTTGGCCCTGGTCGATCCATTGAGTCGTTCTATACTCTGATATGTCAAAGGATGAATTTGTCGCTTGGTGGTTAGAAACTGAATTTGGACGCAAGAAACGGCTTCATTGGAGTGGCAACCGTACAGCAGCTTGCTGGCAGCACTTCGATCAAGTTGCTAATGCAAAGACTGGAAAACCAGGAGCGAAATGCCGTCAATGCCATAAAGTCCTAGACCATCCAGCGAATGGGCGATATGGAACAACTGCACTTCATCGGCATTTAGCTGGACCAACCTGTCGTAAATCCACCAGACAAAAGACCAATATCAAGGGTTTACTTATAAATGCGGTATGTTTAAGCCAGGGTTCCGAGGTTTCGTTTCAGGGATTTACTAATGATCCTCTTCATTCAAAGGCCCAAAACGCACCAGCTACCCCGACTCCCTTTACGCAAGAAGCATGGGAACATAAACTGTTGAAATTGCTTTCCCTTTCACGCCTCCCCTTCCGATTCATCGAGCATGCCGAATTTCATGACGTTATCGCATATGCCAGACTTGCCCCAGCACAACCCCAGATTCCATCTGCGAAAACAATGCGGTCTCGACTACGGGGGTACGTCCAAGAGCAGCAACAGTCTATACTAAAGCAGCTTCCGCCTGGTGTAAAGCTTTCGCTTGCATTAGATTGCTGGACATCTCCATTTGGACAGGCCTTTATGGCAGGGACTGGCTACTTTCTTGATCAGCACTGGGAATACCGAGAGATCCTTCTCGGATTCCAACCTTTGTCTGGTTCACATACAGGTGCAAACCTAAGTGAGGTGGTATTAAAGCTCCTTCAGCAGCATAAAATCACAGATCGAGTGCTTGCAGTGACTACTGATAATGCATCAAATAACAAGACTATGATATCGAGTATCCAAGAATCATTACAGTCCCTTGAATTAAACAATGGTTCAACAATTGTTCGGGTTCCCTGCATTGCCCATGTGATTCAGCTTAGTCTGAATGATCTTCTTGGAAAAATGAAAGCAACTCCAAAGAATGAGCACGCAGAGATGAATTGGTCAGAGGATCGTGTCCGTTCTCTTCGCGTAAGGCAACAGAAACGAGAGATCATCGACACGCTAAATAAGGTACGTATTCCTGATCCCATTTCACCTCTGATTCTAACGCGTTTTTACTACCCTAGGTCCGAAACCTTGCGATCTATATCAACGCTAGTCCACAGCGGCGGGAGTCATTTTGCAACCTTCAGACTGAAGAGCCAAAGCTTGTTCCAATCCAGGATGTTCGAACCCGCTGGAACTCAACATTTCTAATGCTTCGACGTGCGAAACGGCTCCAGTCAACATTTGATGAGTTTTGTTCCCAGTACGACCAGGATCACTTCGCTTTGAATCAAGAAGAATGGCGACAGATTGAATACCTTCTTTGGATCACCCAGCCCTTTTTCAAATTCACAACTCTTCTTTCGAAGACCAAGGATGTGAGTATTCATTTAATATTCAGTATCTACAATAAGCTCTTCGCCCATCTTGAAAAGTCAAAAAGTGCGTTGAAACGGAAGAAGGTTGCTTGGAAGCAGCTTATGCTTAGTTCTCTTGAGGCCGCAGAGAAAAAGCTTTCGCATTATTACAACCAGACCGATGAGATCGATAATAATCTTTATGCGATTGGCACCATTCTCTCACCGCAACATAAGCTTAAGTTTTTTGAAGGAAAGGACTGGGAAGATCCAGTGAATGACTGGCGTACGATCTACCGAACAAGTCTCGAGAATTACTTTGAATGCTACAAACAAAGTCATTTAGATGCACAATCAGCATCAAAACCCCAATCGTCAATGGTTGCAATCTCAGAGCTTGAAATGGAATGTCTGCAGGAGACGTCCCAGCCCTTATCTTCGGGTCAATATGATGAGCTGAAGGAATACCTGGAGAGCGGTAAGTTTATATTTACTATATCATCTGGCCCACACTAACCTTTTATCTAGGCACCGTGAGAACTCCGACCGCTGTGTTTTGGAAGGATCACCAGCGCCAATTTCCAGCGCTTGCAAACCTTGCCCGCGATGTGCTTTCTATACCTGCTACTGGCGCGGGTGTAGAACGTCTGTTCAGCTCTGCCCGGGATATCTGTCACTACCGTCGAGGCTCACTAAACCCATCAACAATTCAAGATCTTATGATGTTTATGTGTACATCACAATTTGAGATTGAAGATAGTCAACGGACGTTGATTAATGAGTATCTCTCACATGAAGAGATACAGGCTAATCAGGAGGCAAACAGTACAGATGCTCACCAACTTGAACCATTCAGTGATCATGATGAGTGCGAATCTGATAGAGCAGATGAAGATGAGATTGAGCCAGTCCTTGATCCTGCTCAGATTAAACCCTCAGTGTTCCTTCCAGATCAACCCTTGTTCAATGGGCCCCAACTAAAACGCCGACAGCGCGGGCTGTCGGAGCAAGAGGAAGGAGAGCACGAAGATAATAGTGAGCCCGGCCTACCTGATACACAGAACCGGCATTCGGGTAGGGTTCGGAAGCGCTTCAGGCTTCTTGATGGATATGAAGTTGCTTAGTCTGTACGATTTACATATATAATATACGCTGTACTTAGAACTCAATTAAATCTATGATTTACCATTCGATACGCTCCCTGATGTAATGCGGTCTCAAGTATGAAATATAATCAAATTGTAAGTCAAATACTCGAAAGTACAGGTCGAAACAGCATAAATTATGCAATCATGGGACTGTCTATGTTTGTCTTGTTTGTCGGCCCTCAAAATGTTTGGAGGGCCGTATAGTGAGGGCGGGCAAAAGACCAGCCCGACCCGCGGGCGGGCGATGCCCGCCCTCCGCCCTCAAAATTGCGGGTCCGCAGGCGGCCCTCAGAGGGCGGCTCTCGGGCGGATGCGAGGTCTACGGGCGTTGATGGTCGTCGATGGTCGTCGATGGTCGTCGATGGTCGTTGATGGTCGTTGATGGGTGTTGATGAACGTTGGTGGTCGTTGATGGGTGTTGATGAACGTTGGTGGTCGTTGATGAACGTTGATGGTCGTTGATGGTCGTTGATGGTCGTTGTTGAACGTTGTTGAACGTTGATGGTCGTTGATGGTCGTTGATGGTCGTTGATGGTCGTTGATGGTCGTTGATGGTCGTTGTTGAACGTTGTTGAACGTTGATGGTCGTTGACGGTCGTTGTTGAACGTTGTTGAACGTTGATGAGCGTGTGGACGATAGTATGGACGAGGTGTTGATGTGTGTATTGTAGTATATGGCCAGGCGGTGAAGTTGAGTGATGGTCACTAGACTTCAGCAAAGCCCAACCAAGCCCATTTCTATGCACACAACTACCGTCTTGGCATTCATAACCCTGCTGATTAATGTCTTTTTTTATGCATGCTCTAACTAGTCTGTAAGCCCAGATCTCGGCCCGACGTTTTCCCCGGCCCAATGCGGGGGTTCAACTACTCCAAGAAGCAAGATATCAAGTATCAACGGCAACGACCTGGTAATAAAAGTCATGGAAAGCAATGGCGACACTTAAGACCCGTTTGTATAGGAATTACCAAGAAAAAGTCGAGTTCTACCAGGATTTTGTACTATCCTGGCACTTAGAGAATTCGTGAGCGTCAGCACATGGATATATATATTTCACAAAGACAGAAGTAGGTTCATCTTCCTGTTCAAGTATGACATTTTCCATGGTGGAACTCCTCATTTGTAGGTTTATAGAATTTAGTTTTATACCAAAAGCTAGGTAATTTCTCACAATTAGTGTCCGTTTCCACAGATAATTGATACTGGGAAAATCTGCATTTTTATGCAAATGCCAAGAATTGGCATGTCTGTATTGTTTTCGGCCCATTGGGCCCCCAAGAAAGCCGGGGAGCTTCTACTTTACCCATAGCCCATCTGCGCGCCCGAAATACATTATATTGCTCAGGTAATTATGGTGATGCGATAGACTGTTCCTCGCGTCGTCAAATTTGCCGCTTCAGGCGGCTTGCAAGTCACTCACTCTGCTGTAGAAGCCTACATCCACAACGGTCGCGAGTCAAACTGGATTCCCAATAAAGACGGCGAAGAAATTGGGGAGCTTGGCTCGAAAATTTCCGATTGGCTGCTTCTACATCGGAGCCGTCGCAACCCCGTGAATAATCCCGTTAGCAACTACGATTTATATCGTCTGTCCTCTCCCATTATCAACATCCACTACTGCACCCAAAGCGATCGCCATTGCTATTTGGGCATAGTACCCAAATCCATGCGATCAGGCATGCTCTGCTGCCCAGAGAACATGGAGGCAGCCGGATTGAGGTTTAGCAAGCGCCATCTTGACCAGGCCTGGTAAGGACGGCTCCGCCAAAATTTGCGACGGACTTTTGTGATGTGATCTACTTGGCTTGGAGCCGCAGCAGACATGCGCGTAACCAACCCCGCCGAAAGCAATCATGTGAATGCTGATTAGTGGTAGGAATTTTAGGATAGGCTGTCATAGATAGTCAGTGGTCGCACAGAGGATGGCTCTGAGTAAAGTTGTGCAGACATCCAAATCACCTTCACAAAGAATTTGCTTGAACAGTGATATACCAGTCCAAAGCGCGGTGTCTGACAAATAATTAATGCTCAAGGAAAGTAGGGGACGTAGAGAGCTCAGTCATTCCCCGAGAAAACCGCTTGCACACGATATGTCAGAAGACGATTTCAGTAGAGATAAACGTGCTCGGGTTGACCAACCTGCAAATACAATGACATCCAGGGGAAATGATCTTTGCGCACGTCACTCGGCTTGGATAGAAAAACGCGTGCTTAGGCATCAGATCCAGCCAACGTATATCCAAAGACACCACAAATGTTCTGACGATGCGCTTGATGCAGCATCGTGCATGTCTGGTTGATTCATTTTCACTTGTTCGTTTCCGCTTGTTAGCCGCACCCGCTGGAATACGTCGACCGGCTCAGCAACGCGGGGGATCAGGTAAAACTATCGGACGGCATCCCTTTGCTCGTGCTCTTTGCTTGACTCGGTTATAACTCGGCACCCTACCGTCTCCATTTATCGGTTCGTACCTGATATGGGCAATTTTCGTCTGTAGGCTCGAGTAAATGGGGTCCCGCCTCACCTTCTCCTTGCACGCAGACTTAGACTCACAGCCTGCTCGTCGGTGAAAGAGGACTCATCCGCCATGAGCCAGACTGAAACATGAGCTCATCCCGGTGCCTGTCGAGCTGCCAGGCATCGGAAGACGTGAGATTCAAATCGAGGATAATGAGGATCACCCATTGGACGTCAGGAATTTGATCCACAAGGAGGCTGTTCTTTCGCGGGGTTCGAATGCCGACACATATCAGCACACGGCCTGCTGCACTGAGTCGACTAAGAGAAGGTCCGAGATAGACGATCTGAACCTTACACTGACTCATCGTCGATGCCACGAGTATTGAGTTGGAACGGATAGACAGCATGCGATCGCATCGGCATAGGCTCTCTTCGCAATCGAGTGACGGCAATATTAGGGGTGTCCTGTTGTACGATACAAGTCAGCAAGGCTTGAGCTACTTGGACGAGTTGTTCTGACTTACCTGTTCATGGAATTTGGAGCATGTTCGCTTGAGACGAGATGATCAATTAGCTTCCTGTTCATATCTTACCGACGGGATCACTTACAATTGTATTCATCAATCCGTCACCATTGATACCGTATTGACATGATGATGTCTCCAGTTCGTCGCACTCTCCGGCTGTCGCTTTGAATAAGCCGCGCTGGGTGCACCGGGCAATTTTTGAGAGCCAAAGGCGCGTGATGAATCATTTGTGACAGAACACTGTAGATTCGTAATGGGATAATACCTCGCGAGGGGGACGGCGCGAGGTTCATACACTTCGCCGTTCTGCCACCATGGTCTTATCTCCGATCTGGCGATAGGACTCCCAACAGGTATGTTTCACAGTGGCGATGGCTGCTCCTGACATAAGATTTAGTAATGGTATTCGGGATTTGAAGCACAAAACATCGCAAACAACTGATATAGCGCAGCAGAGGGCGCGATAAATCACTCACATTACCAGGAAGAATGGACGTCTCAGCCTTTTATGCAGCGAAGCTCGCAATCAGATTCTCACATCCGTTACTGGCCCGCTCCTCTGCTTTATATTGTTCACCTGGGGTAGGTTGCGTGGTTTGAAGCGACGGGGCGGGGAATGGTGTTTAAGCCATGGCTTTGTGTAGAGTGCTAACGGGGATGCTGTATCCTCGGGGCCCGCTGGTGCGATGTCAATGGCTCACTGTCATTCATTATCTTGTAGCTTCGCGACATGATCCATGACTCACATGCTCTGGTGGCCAAGAATAGGTACAAAGAGACGGCAAAGAGCTGTGGTCCTTGCGCTCGTGCATTGTGGTCGAATGTCCTCGGTTCTATTGAAATTGCATCGTTTTCAGGATCAGTAGAATTCAGACAGGTCAAGCTAAGATTTACATACCTGCGACACAGATATTCGAGCTTTCTCTTGGGAATGCACACACGGGCTGTACAGTAGATGAACTCAGTCGGCTGCTGTGGCGGAGACCTGGTCGCACGGACAATTGGACCAGCTAACTCAAAACTCGTATCTTTGATCGGCTGGGGTGAATGGCAGTGTATCTGGTGGGAATCATACCTCCACCTCTCACAGGCACTCTCTTACTTGCTAATCCCCGATGTATTCTAAACATGTCAGTACAGTGGAAATATTGCTGCTAGTTTAAAGGGAAGAACTTATCCATTGCCTCAGACACAAGCCTGCTCGACTTTGCAAAGTCAGGTGAATAGATTGTAGAGCAAACTGCCGGGGTAGAGGCAGTATTTATAAACTTATCGGCTTCCGTAACTTACAAGCTTGGTAGAAAGCGTTGAAGGACACCTATCCTAATTGAGGTCCATTGAAACTCATGTTTTCTTTTAACCGCAACTATTTACAGCGATATTTTTAATGCTTTAGATGCTCAGCGAGAGAGACGAGCGAGAGTCTTGTTGAGCAACAGCATGCTGAGTTGCTCAAGAAGCGTTGGCAGACTGTTGAATCCTTCACGGCCCTGTTACATTGAGGCGCTGCCAATCCGCAATGACAGGCTCATATCTCTTGTTCTGGTATCTCGCCTATGAGTGACTCGGCGTTGAATCACCGAAAAGCGCCTACAATTTCAAACTCAAAATCATGGACTTTTTCCCTAGCCTCGTTTTAGTGTGGTGTTGGTTGTGTTGAGCTGTGGGTCTGTCCGACCAGGTTTCGGAAAGCAAGGTCACAGTGGGATGTGTTCGACTCGTCAACCCGTTGAAGCTTAGCCCAACGTTATCAACACTCACTTTTCGAACTTGTGACCATGAAAATACATTGAATAATAAAGAAGATTGTTTTTTCTTCTATTTTTCTTCGTTAAATGACGATAAGTTCTACAAAATTCCTTTGTCGGATTCCTGAGGTGTTCAACGAAAGGGAAAGAGGTGTCTGATTGAAATATTCATCCTCAATAAGCGTTGTTCTCTGGCCCTAAACATCGTGAGGCTTGATCAGTTCCCCGACTGATATCCCTATTGCTGAATACACTTTCAGGAGCCCGCTGAAAAGTAGACCGACTCCAGTGAGAATTTCACTGCTTCAATTGACCGTTGTGGTGATTGTAAAACCCAGCCCATAATTTATACACGTACATATGCATAGTCTATAAGAGACACTGAAGATCGATGGAAGTTGTATGGACCAGACCATTGACCTTCTACTGCGGACAAAATGGATGACCTGAATAGCGGTCACGCCAGGAAAAAGAAGCAGATCAGCCGCCCAGGGAATTGCCCATCCTTGGTGAGAAAGCCAAATCACAGGAAATTTCTGACCATGTCCCGTTGGTAAGTGAAACGATCCGGCTTCAAACGGTTTTGCTGACCCCCATTCGTAGCAGGAAGCAGGAACAAGACACACCCTTGCGACCGAGCCCTTTCAACCCATCTTGAAGGTTCTAGGAGCCCTTGAGAGCGACGATCCCAAGTTCGCCTTTCCAGAAGCTCGACTTGTCGGACTTTATCGACGCCTATGGGAGTCGTGCGTGTCCAAGCACATTGATGGCGAGAATCTGGAGCAGGGCAACCTTGCCTTGAAGGAGGCTGGTACGCAGCTGAGACAAAAGACGGACGGTCTTCAGGTTCGCCGCGACAAACAGCTATCCCGGCTGCGCTTTACTGAGCAGGCACTGAATATGTCTCGAGAACGACTGACTAGCGTACTTGATGACTGGAACCACCATTCGAGACTCAATTTGGCAGGGTTCTTGGATAACGCAAGACGAGAGTGAGGGATTGGCTATTGGAGGCAGTGTACCCTATTTCGGCATTAAAATACTAGTTGACTTTTCGAATCGAGTAACTAGAACTACTGCTTAGAAAGCATCTTCTATTTCTAAGTATTTCCAAAATGTAATGCATGGAATAGCCTCCCATTAAATTTATGTTCACTGGAAAATGTTGAATACCAACGCAATTCATGGACCAATCTCACTTGTAGTTACCCAGTATGTTATGCTCAAAAATCCTTGGATCAAGGGGTACCTTCGTGGGTAGCGCAACTAGCGAAGGAAGAGTCAAGTGAGTGGGATGTGGTAGGGGTTCAATGCGAGGCCAAAGGGACAGACGGAATCTAGTGCCTGTTACACCAATACCATGCCAGGAGATCTTATCTAGCAACTGTTCGCGTATCCGACAGAGATTCCACGTGGCCGTCTCGACTCGGGGTAGGAAGCACAGATGCTCTGGACGTGGCATTACTGAATCAATTTGTTAACAGGGAGATGCACATTAGTAATTCCGAGATTTCTTGGCAAGTGATGCCGAGAAAGCCTTTGGTATTACCTTATGACAGATGCGACTCGTAGTTGTGATTGTGGTTTTGCCGCAGTCTGGGCGGGGTGGACGGGATTTACGTCCCGGAACCATGGAGCCACACTATGGTCATGAGAATCAAGCCCCGGGCTAATGAATCGCTCATCAAATAGCCAAAGGCTACTTTCACAGTCTAATTGCAATAATAAATTTTACAATCATAAACTTGACTAGAATTAAATACAGCAAGCTTTTATCGCTGGTCGCTTCTGCCGTCCGTTCCAGAACTCAGTGCTTCCATAAACTCATTTGCCGCGTTGGGTGGGAAGATAACGCTACCATCATCTGCAATGTCGGGAGAAGTATTCACCTGAAGCTTGCCATTGCTATCCAGGTAAATAATAGCAAAGTGAGGAAGCGTCGTGGTGAATTTCAAAACTTGATCTAGTGAAACAAGCTGAGAAAGAACTCATGCATCAGTCGAGACATCATTTAATGTTGCGCAAATTATTTCTTTAAGAGAACGGATGTGTATTCGACGTACCTTGTCACGATTTGGCGACAGACTGTCGATTTGCGAGTCTGGTAAGGGACCTTTTTCGGACCTAGTCTGCTTTTCGTTCATTCTCGGGTTTCAACGCTGACATTCATAGGGTCAGGTCACTCTTTTGATGTACGTGCCCTAATGTGCAGTCCCAATTCGAACAATGATGTGTAACTTAAAGACTTCTCTTGGCCTTCATGAATTGAGAGAATACAAAAGTAAATATAGGTGCAGAAGTGACTTTGTTGACTGGATTCAAGGAACATCTTGCTTTCAGTAACCAGATATGATATCCAAATAAGCTGTTAAACATACAGAGTAAGTCCAACCTACGCCTCAGAGTTTTGTAACAAAGTAGGGATCCATCAGAGCGGCGAACATGATTCGATGTCTTGACCAAGATCGACACCCCTTTCATTTATCGGAACGGAAAGGTCTAACTTAGTTCTGGTCCCAAATTTCAACAAAACGGACCTATTACCATCTTGATACTGATTCACCAGCCGGAAGAAGCTGTCATCTATGTATATGCGAGAATTCTTACAGGAAGTGAACGTATTACAAGGGTGCTTTTTTTATATCAAAAATACAAGAAAAGGCCCGTCTGCCACATCCGAGATGTATAATGCGAGGGGTGAAATATTCGAAGACCAGTCACTTGGTATTGAAGGGAACGAATTTAATCACACCTGGTCTATCTACGATCGATGATTAGGTAAAGTCTCGTATGTAGCAATGAATTGTTACTAAACAGCTGTTGTCAGAATGATAAAATCCCTTCATTTCAAAGATCGACTGAAGAGGTGTGGAGAAAACCGGATTCTAAAACTACGAAAGCTCAGATATCATGGTTTCGCTATTTTGAGATCATCGCCATACGCTTACAAACCAGGTACGTCTTACTCGAAACTCAACCTGTCCTCGGAGCCGACAGTTATATCTGGCTGCTGCTTAACTTGCTCACGTTCTATGGTGCATGAGAAAATTTCCTGAACTTGTATTCGATCGGCAAGGGGCTCTGACCCGATCCTGGGATGCTACCACCAATCATAGTGCAGACTCGGATCCGGCAAGCACTTCAGTCATGTGGAGTTCGGTAGTATCTCGGAGCCGACTGTGTGAGTTCATAATTTGCCATCGAGACGGGATCCAAAGGAGCATTTGATTCGTTCAAATTTTAAGGCCAAACCAAACTTGCATTTCGGGAAAACTTTAAAATCTCAGGCATGATCTATAACAAGTGCGTTCAACATCATGCGGACCCCCGGACGCAGCGCCCGCCCCATCCCCTTTCTCAAATCGCGAAGCGATCGACCGAACTCAAAAAGGTTATTCTAAGCTTTTTGGCTATTCATCTCAAAAGCAAGCCGATTAGAAAAGATCGACAGTCTTGACTCGCGATCGAAGAAGACAATCTCACTTTCCTCTATTTATAAGTCTACGTGTTATTTTCGTAGATGATGGATATTTCATGTCCTGAATCACCGTCTCTGGCCAAAATGAAGAGCCTTTCTGGTTCATGCTCAAATATAAGATATGGTCCTGATGAAACGAGTGCCCACACAAGGCAGACCAGGATGTCTCTGGTAAGATTCAACATTCGAATGACCAAACAAACAAGACATGTTCGTGCCGCTGTTGACACTTGAAAAACAACCTAACTTGTTATTCTTCCCTATTACGGAGTAGAAAACCATACCTTGGCTTAAAGCATATAAAATTCCACAAAACACGAAGTAAGATGATATTGCTGTAATCAACAAGGAGACGGCAGTTGTGGTGTATCCCAATCCCACCCAGCCAGTCATGGAACATCATAGCATGGCCTGTGACCTTTCAATATTACCCCAGGTTTCGAGAAGATCACTGATATCTGCTTGGAGCATGGGGAACGCTCTGTGAAAACAAGACAATGATACCTCTTGGTCAATACAACGTTTCCGTAAATTTTGAATTTCCGCATGCTGCTGCTGCAGGGATATTCTCAACCGTTTATTTGTTTCCTCTAGGCAGCAAGTTTGCGCCCGGCTTGCCGTCAAAGATGCCTCAAGAGTGTGACAATGATTAATCACCCGGGCTGCATCAGCTTTCAGCTTCGGACTTTGGTCCCATAAAGCTTCAATATCTTGCACAAGCTTGTCAAAATCTATGCATGTCTCTCCCTGGTCATCGTCCGTGATTTCATTTGCTTGAGGCGGCTTCTGTTTGGCCAAGACCAAGACGAAGAGACGGCAAAAAGCGGTGGCTCTTGCGCTTGCACAGTGGTAGAACTTTCTCGATTCTACCAAATCGCATCGTCTTGACGATCAGTATGATTCCAGACAGATAAGGCTAATGCTGATATATCTGCGACATGATGTGACGACAATATTCGCGCGTTTTCCTTAGGAACACCCACCGGGCTATACAGTAGATCAGCTCAGTCGGTCGCCATAGCGCAGAAATATTCGCATAGACACCTTGACCAGCTAACCCAAGCTTCGTATCTTTGATCGGCTTGCATGGATAGCAATGCATCCAGCGAACATCAGATATCTTACAGGCCCTGACTTGCTGGTCCATGAGGTAGTATATAAATATGTACAGTGGAAACTTCCATTTTGGCTTAATGGAGCACAACTTACATATCAAGTAGCTCAGACACAAGGCTTGCTCGGCTTGGAATAGTCAAGTGGTTCAACTCTAGAGCAAATTTTCGGGGGTAAAGAACGAATTGATAGATTTCTCGGCTTCGTCCACTTACGTGCTTGGTAGCAAGCGTTGTAGGACATCAATTCTAATTGAGGCCGGTTTAAATTCATTTATTCGTTGTACCGCGACTGTCTGCAGCGACTTCTTGACGCCATCATAAACGCCTACCGAGAGAGACGTGATAAAACCATGTTAACGGACGTGATGCTGGGTCGGTTAAAAACATTGGCTCAGCTAACAGTCGGAATCTATAACGGCCCTCTTAAATTGAGGCTTCGCGGTGCATTATGAGCCTTCTCAATCAGCAATGATAGGCTCATGTTTTTTCTTCTGACCATTTATTTCCAGCCGCGAGCGGCTCAACGTGGAATCAGCAAAGAAAACTATAGAATCTTATTCCTAGGACTGGCGAGCTATTTTCTCTCAGCCCCGCTGTAGTTTTGATTGTGCTGAGCTGTGAGGCACCGACCCGCAAACCTCGTTAAAGCGTAGCCCTACACCGACTCAATAATCTGGAACCTGTAGATATCTTTCAGGTAATATGGCTAGCGTTTGTTTCGTACCGAATTCTAGCTATTCCAGCCTTTACCCCTTTCAACTGTTAGTGTTTCAAATAAAGACATGTTTCTTACCAAGTGAGCTGTTGAAACCGATGAACAATGACATCAAAATTCAGCTGCTAATGCAGGCCATACCTAAAATTGCTCATCGATCAGTCCCACATTCATGAGGCGTCAGTTGTTCTCTGTCTGAGTTTGCAAGGTATAAATGACGGTGTCAAGTTGACACGTTGCGCCCGAGACGGCCCGCGTAGTATGAGCTACCGTTCCGGAAGTATGGGTGCATGCAGGCCTGCTTCGCCGAAATTCGGTGGGCAGGGTCGTACTCAAGCAGGGCCTCCAGCAGATCGAGGCCAGCAAGCTCCAGACCGGGGACAATCGAGACATCGGGACGTTTCCAATTGGGGAAAGTGGCCTTGTAATCGGGGAATGAGGTTATATCTGGCCAGAGCGCTTCATCGGGGGTGCCGAGGGTACTGAAGAACGAAAAACACACTTAGTTATTGGTTAATCACCAAGCGAAAAGAAGAAGCTACCGGAAGATCTTGAAGATCTCGTCGATCTCCGAGTCACCGGGAAATAGCGGCTTGCGTGTGTACATCTCGGCAAAAATCGCGCCAATGGACCACATGTCAACACCGGTAGAATACTGGCGGCCACCAAGCAGAATTTCAGGGCAGCGATACCACAGTGTAATGACCTGAGATAGAGAAATGTCGGTGAGCTGAAAACCAATTCGTGCTTAGAATACCGGTGCTTACCTCATGGGTGTAAGTCCGTAGCGGCACACCGAAGGCTCTCGCCAGACCAAAATCGGCGAGTTTCAGGTTACCATCCCGGTCAATGAGCAAGTTCTGGGGCTTGAGATCACGGTGGAGGATACGGCGACTATGGCAGTAGCGAATACCCTCAACCAATTGGGCCATGAACTTCTTCACCATGGCATCGCCCAGTCCCAGGGTTGCCATCGACGTAGACTCATCCGGAAGAGGCTTGCCGCGACCACCCTCGCTAACCGGTAGAGCTTCCATGTATTTCTTCAAATCAAGGTCGAGGAACTCCATGACCAGATAGAGACTGTGGCTATCGGCATGGACGATGTTCAGCAATTGGACAATGTTCGGGTCCTGCATTTCTTTGAGTAGCGAGATCTCGCGGATAGTGGTGCTAGGAACACCCTCATCTTCGGCCTCTAGTCTGATTTTTTTCAGAGCGACAATACGGCAAGGATGGTGCAGCTCGCGGGCCTTGTAGACGACACCGTATGTGCCTAGAGACGAACCGACGCGTGAGCTAAGTTCTGACAGGAACGTATCAATAGGAACCAAAAACCGCGTCAAATCCGTCCGTACCTTCGCCGACTTTCTCAATTTTCCGGTAGTTCTGCATGGAGATCTCGACGTTTGACACTTATTTAGCTTGGATCGTTTCAAGAAGACGAGAGCCGACCATTAGAGTAGCGCAGATGAATGGATGGTGGGAGGAATGAGGTAGAAGCAAGGAGGGGAGGAGGCATGGGAAACCAATGGACCTCACATATCATCAAACATTGATCTCTGAGACCACTAAGCACGTCAAAAAAAGTCTCGACACCAAAAAGAGCCCTCTTCGAGTCCATGCTCTAACTTCTCAGCCGAGCGCAAAACCGCCCTGCGGAGGAAGGAGAATATTTACTTACCGCCTTCGCGGGGACTTGTCTAGACCTGCTGCTGCCACAAATAACATTATCTATGGCCTGGTCTGCCTATTTGCTATCGTACAGTATTTATGCCTGCCCATTATAGAACGGCGAAAGATTCACGCTGTTGCTTGCTAGCCACTTATTTGTCT